TCTTTAGAGCCTAGTCTCAGTGTCTTTAGAGCCTAGTCTCAGATTCTTTAGAGACTAGGCTCAGTGTCTTTAGAGACTAGTCTCAGTTTCTTTAGAGCCTAGTCTCAGTTGCTTTAGAGCCTAGTCTCAGTTTCTTTAGAGACTAGTCTCAGTTTCTTTAGAGACTAGTCTCAGTGTCTTTAGAGCCTAGTCTCAGTTTCTTTAGAGCCTAGTCTCAGTTTCTTTAGAGCCTAGTCTCAGTTGCTTTAGAGCCTAGTCTCAGTTTCTTTAGAGACAAGTCTCAGGGTCTTTAGAGACTAGTCTCAGTGTCTTTAGAGACTAGTCTCAGTGTGTGTCGAGCCTAGTCTCAGTTTCTTTAGAGACTAGTCTCAGTTTTTTTTTAAAGCTTAGACTCAGTTTCTTTAGACCCTAGTCTCAGTGTCTTTAGAGACTAGTCTCAGTTTCTTTAGAGACTAGTCTCAGTTTCTTTAGAGACTAGTCTCAGTTTCTTTAGAGCCTAGTCTCAGTTTCTTTAGTGCCTAGTCTCAGTTTCTTTAGAGACTAGTCTCAGTTTCTTTAGAGACTAGTCTCAGCGTCTTTAGACCCTAGTCTCAGTGTCTTTAGAGCCTAGTCTCAGTGTCTTTAGAGCCTAGTCTCAGTTTCTTTAGAGCCTAGTCTCAGTTTCTTTAGAGCCTAGTCTCAGTGTCTTTAGTGACTAGTCTCAGTATCTTTAGAGCCTAGTCTCAGTGTCTTTAGATCCTAGTCTCAGTTTCTTTAGAGACTAGTCTCAGTTTCTTTAGAGCCTAGTCTCAGTGTCTTTAGACCCTAGTCTCAGTGTCTTTTAGAGACTAGTCTCAGTTTCTTTAGAGACTAGTCTCAGTGTCTTTAGAGACTCGTCTCAGTTTCTTTAGAGACTAGTCTCAGTGTCTTTAGTGCCTAGTCTCAGTTTCTTTAGAGACTAGTCTCAGATTCTTTAGAGACAAGTCTCAGTTTCTTTAGAGACTAGTCTCAGTTTCTTTAGATCCTAGTCTCAGTGTCTTTAGAGCCTAGTCTCAGTTTCTTTAGAGACTAGTCTCAGTATCTTTAGAGCCTAGTCTCAGTTTCTTTAGAGCCTAGTCTCAGTGTCTTTAGAGCCTAGTCTCACATTCTTTAGAGACTAGTCTCAGTTTCTTTAGATACTAGTCTCAGTTTCTTTAGACCCTAGTCTCAGTTTCTTTAGAGACTAGTCTCAGTTTCTTTAGAGCTTAGTCTCAGTGTCTTTAGAGCCTAGTCTCAGTGTCTTTAGAGCCTAGTCTCAGTTTCTTTAGAGACTAGTCTCAGTGTCTTTAGAGACTAGTCTCAGTTTCTTTAGACCCTAGTCTCAGTTTCTTTAGAGACTAGTCTCAGTGTCTTTAGAGCCTAGTCTCAGTTTCTTTAGAGCCTAGTCTCAGTTTCTTTAGAGACTAGTCTCAGTGTCTTTAGAGACTAGTCTCAGTTTCTTTAGAGCCTAGTCTCAGTGTCTTTAGAGCCTAGTCTCAGTTTCTTTAGAGACTAGTCTCAGTGTCTTTAGAGCCTAGTATAAGTGTCTTTAGAAACTAGTCTCAGTTTCTTTAGAGACTAGTCTCAGTTTCTTTAAAGCCTAGACTCAGTTTCTTTAGACCCTAAACTCAGTTTCTTTAGAGCCTAGTCTCAGTTTCTTTAGAGCCTAGTCTCAGTGTCTTTAGAGACTAGTCTCAGTTTCTTTAGAGACTAGTCTCAGTTTCTTTAGAGCCTAGTCTCAGTGTCTTTAGAGCCTAGTCTAGTTGTTCTCTGGTGCGGACCAATCAGTTCCAAAGCTAACGCACCTTCAGGGGCATTGATAGCTCGGGGGGGTGAGAAGCTCCAGCAAATGAGCAGCGTACAAAATCTTGTTGTCATGGCTCTCATCGCCGATTTGGTTGTTCCCGACTCCCTCTCTTGCCCTGGGCTACTATCCGGCATGGCAGGGACTTGTCGCAATGCCCTCACTGGCAAGCGATTGATCGGGTATCGCGTGCGTACGTGCGTCAGTGTGTTTATGTGTGTGGAGCGGTAGCGTAGCGGTTAGCGGTACGCTGCGCTATGAACCCGGCGACACGGGTTCGATTCCCGCTCACGGCCAACACCCCCAGTGACGATGATCTGAACCGGTCCTGGGCCTCCCCTAGGTCGATTCAGCCTCAAATGCGCAACCTGGTGTAGCGTTGTGCAGCGAACATCGCCACTGGGGGAGAGACAAAGGCGGTCGGGCGTGGTGCTGGCCACCCACCCCTTCGTGTGGAGTGCCGGTAGCCTTCGTAGGTGCTACTCGCTAACAGCACTTGCCCCTACAGTCTGCTAAGGCTATACGGGGAGGGGGGGGGGGAGTCTTTGTCTTTATCTGTGTGTATGCTGAACTTCTATCGCACCGTACGTAGCCAACCGCGCTAATCGCAAGTGCGGGGGCAAAGAGAAGAAAATAAACACAACAACAACAACAACAAGAAGTTCTAAACAGATGCGTTTTGAATGTAGATGATGCACAGCTGCCACTGATGACACTGTTGATGATGCCGATGATGATTATGATGATGATGATACTGCTGATGAAACTGCTCCTGTTGCTGATGATGATGATGATGACGACGACGCTGATGGATGAGTGTGTTTTTCTTTTTTTTCTCTCTCGCAGGATCTTCTGAACCGTCCCTCCAAGGTAACGTTGCATCATTCTCAGCAGCCAGGGTTGGTGGGTCACGCGCGGATGGGTTCGTGAAACTCCCGCTTGTTGCCTGCGGGGTGGGGGGTGTCCTGGGGGAGCCGTACCCCCTGGCTCTGACAGCAGGCGGCACAGCAGCAGAGTGTGTGGACTAATCTCCATCTGTTCCATCTCGCTCCCTTCTAGCAGTGTGTGGACTAATCTCCATGTGTTCCATCTCGCTCCCTTCTTCCAGTGTGGACTAATCTCCATCTGTTCCATCTCACTCCCTTCTACCCCGTGTGTGGACTTATCTCCATCTGTTCCATCTCACTGCCTTATACCCGCATGTGGACTAATCTCCATCTGTTCCATCTCACTCACCTTCTACCGTGCGTGGACTAATCTCCATCTGTTCCATCTCACTTCCTTCTACACCGTGTGTGGACTAATCTCCATCTGTTCCATCTCACTCCATTCTTCCCGCGTGTGGACTAATCTCCATCTGTTCCATCTCACTCCATTCTTCCCGCGTGTGGAATAATCTCCATCTGTTCCATCTCACTCCATTCTTCCCGCGTGTGGACTAATCTCCATCTGTTCCATCTCACTTCCTTCTACACCGTGTGTGGACTAATCTCCATCTGTTCTATCTCACTGCCTTCTACCCCGTGTGTGGACTAATCTCCATCTGTTCCATCTCACTCCCTTCTACACCGTGTGTGGACTAATCTCCATCTGTTCCATCTCACTCCCTTTTACCGCGTGTGGACTAATCTCCATCTGTTCCATCTCACTCCCTTCTACACCGTGTGTGGACTAATCTCCATCTGTTCCATCTCACTGCCTTCTACCCCGTGTGTGGACTAATCTCCATCTGTTCCATCTAACTCCATTCTTCCCGCGTGTGGAATAATCTCCATCTGTTCCATCTCACTCCATTCTTCCCGCGTGTGGACTAATCTCCATCTGTTCCATCTCACTTCCTTCTACACCATGTGTGGACTAATCTCCATCTGTTCCATCTCACTCCATTCTTCCCGCAAGTGGAATAATCTCCATCTGTTCCATCTCACTCCATTCTTCCCGCGTGTGGACTAATCTCCATCTGTTCCATCTCACTTCCTTCTACACCGTGTGTGGACTAATCTCCATCTGTTCCATCTCACTCCATTCTTCCCGCGTGTGGACTAATCTCCATCTGTTCCATCTCACTCCCTTCTACACCGTGTGTGGACTAATCTCCATCTCTTCTATCTCACTGCCTTCTACCCCGTGTGTGGACTAATCTCCATCTGTTCCATCTCACTCCCTTCTACACCGTGTGTGGACTAATCTCCATCTGTTCCATCTCACTTCCTTCTACCCACGTGTGGACTAATCTCCATCTGTTCCATCTCACTCCATTCTTCCTGCGTGTGGACTAATCTCCATCTGTTCCTTCTCACTTCCTTCTACACCGTGTGTGGACTAATCTCCATCTCTTCTATCTCACTGCCTTCTACCCCGAGTGTGGACTAATCTCCATCTGTTCCATCTCACTCCCTTCTACACCGTGTGTGGACTAATCTCCATCTGTTCCATCTCACTCCCTTCTACACCGTGTGTGGACTAATCTCCATCTGTTCCATCTCACTCCATTCTTCCCGCGTGTGGAATAATCTCCATCTGTTCCATCTCACTCCATTCTTCCCGCGTGTGGACTAATCTCCATCTGTTCCATCTCACTGCCTTCTACCCCGTGTGTGGACTAATCTCCATCTGTTCCATCTCACTCCCTTCTACACCGTGTGTGGACTAATCTCCATCTGTTCCATCTCACTCCCTTCTACACCGTGTGTGGACTAATCTCCATCTGTTTCATCTCACTGCCTTCTACCCCGTGTGTGGACTAATCTCCATCTGTTCCATCTCACTCCCTTTTACCGTGTGTGGAATAATCTCCATCTGTTCCATCTCACTCCATTCTTCCCGCGTGTGGACTAATCTCCATCTGTTCCATCTCACTCCCTTCTACCCGCGTGTGTGGACTATGCTCCATCTGTTCCATCTCACTCCATTCTTCCCGCGTGTGGACTAATCTCCATCTGTTCCATCTCACTCCCTTCTACCCGCGTGTCGGGTTAATATCACCTACATTTACGCGATTTAACCCCAACACTAAAAAAATAACCCTTTAACGTGGACAATGTCGGTCGCGAAAGGCCACGGCTGCGTGTTAGACAGACGCGACGACTGACGGACCGACGAACAACCACGTGAACGACCGACCGACCGACCGACCGACCGACCGACCGACACGCTCCCGGCCTAACGGCTCGTCTCAACGTCCTCGACGCCGTTTCAGGCTCGCGGGCGGTGTGCACCCTGTGGGCCACCGAGGGCGTTTCCCACGTGGCCACGTTCGACGGCGAGGTGGCGTCCGTGAGCGGCTCGGGGCCCTGCCTCTTCTCGCTCTCGGCCGAGGAGCTGGGACGGTTCAACGTGGAGCCGTCCGTGCAAGTCGGGGACGGCGAGCCCTCCGCGATCGAGATCACCACCGACGAGGCCAATATCCACGTGGACCTGCAGAGCGGCGCCGTCAGCCTCCTTGGCAATGCGTGAGTCTGGGGGGGGGGGGGCCGCTGGCGGAACGAGACTCCTTTGGCCAACGTGTTAAAGGTCCCCCCTTCCCCTCCACCGCCCACACAGTTACCACAAGTCTGTGGCTGTCCGCCTGATTATGCTGGTCGGTTGTAATTGCCGGCGAAACGTCACGATACTCGAGTTGTAAATGCAGTAGCGGGTTCACTCTGCAGCACACAACCGATGCAGTGCTGTATTAGTGCACTACACTACACACTGCACTATATATCTACACTATGCACTACGACACACAACTATACACTACACTATACACTACTATACACTACACTATACACTGCACTATACACTACACTATGCACTACTACACACTACACTATACACTGCACTATACACTACACTATACACTACTTCACACAACTATACACTAGACTATACACTACTATACACTACACTATACACTACAATATACACTACTATACACTAAATTTCGATTTAAAGCTTTCGTGACTGCAAGGATTCATCTTCTTTGGTTCTTGCGGTAAAGTCACCACGTAGAATGAGAATAAAATAATAAATTGATAAAATAAAATAACACAATAATATTCTCACGACGTTTCGGCCACAACACAAGCGGCCTTCATCAGGTGAAGGGACGAGACTGTCTGGAGGACAGCGCTGGAGCGAACAAAGCCATGCTCAGATCGCGACCTTAAAGCTGTGTGAGAAGAAACAAAGCGCCTTGACAAAGGAATTAGCATAGAATTTAGCATAGAATTAAGCATTGAAATGCTAAATTCTATGCTAATTCCTTTGTCAAGGCGCTTTGTTTCTTCTCACACAGCTTTTAAAGGTCGCGATCTGAGCGTGGCTTTGTTCACTCCAGCGCTGTCCTCCAGACAGTCTTGTCCCTTCACCTGATGAAGGCCGCTTGTGTTGTGGCCGAAACGTCGTGAGAATTTTATTGTGTTATTTTATTTTATCAATTTATTATTTTATTCTCATTCTACGTAACTTTACTACACACTACTATACACTACACTATACACTACACTATAGGCTACACTATACACTACTATACACTACACTATACACTACACTATAGGCTACACTATACACTACTATACACTACACTATACACTACAATATACACTACAATGTACACCACACTATACACTACACCATACACTACACTACGCTTTAATTGATAATGTTGTAGTGGGTTTTACTCACTGTTGTACTAGTAACGAACTGGTACGTTCTGTTCACGTGACGGGTGGTGGCGGGTCTCACGACACATTCATATTCGCGCAATCTAACCCCCGCAAGCAAAAAAAAAACAAAAACCCTCTGCTACGATGGACGTTGAACTTCGTTCCACACCGTACGTGGCCATGCGTGCTAATCGGAGGGTGCAAAGTCGTCTGTAATGACCGTCCGCCCCGTTGTTTCCGCTGCTGCTGCTGCTGCAGTCTCACGCTGCCGTACATCGGCAAGGGCTTCTTCATCAAGAGCTACGGCCCCTACACCAAGTTCACGGCCAAACTGCTGGGACTCTCGGTGGTGTGGGGGGAGGAGTTCGTCACGGTGAGAGGAACGCGCCACGCGCCACGCCTCGCCTTGATCGATCGATCGATCAATCGATCGTTCGATTGCTCGCTCGCTCGATCACTCGATTGCTCGATCGATCGATGGCTCGCTCGCTCTCCCACGCGGGGCGGTCTTGGGCTCCCTGCCAACCCGCGTCGCAGTCGATGACGTCACGGTCGATGACGTCACCTGCCGATGGCGTCACGATTGATGACGTCACGGTCGGTGACGCCATCGACCTGCATCTACATCAGCAAGCCATGTGATAGAAGACACGACCCCTGTCACTGTCACTACCCCTATCACTGTCACTACCCCTATCACTATCACTACCCCTATCACTGTCACTACCCCTATCACTGTCACTACCCCTATCACTGTCACTACCCCTATCACTACCCCTATCACTGTCACTACCCCTATCACTGTCACTACCCCGACCCCTATCACTGTCACCACCCCTATCACTGTCACTACCCCGATCACTATCACTACCCCTATCACTATCACTACCCCTATCACTACCCCTATCACTGTCACTACCCCGAGCCCTATCACTGTCACCACCTCTATCACTGTCACTACCCCGATCACTATCACTACCCCTATCACTATCACTACCCCTATCACTATCACTACCCCTATCACTACCCCTATCACTGTCACTACCCATATCACTGTCACTACCCCGATCACTATCACTACCCCTATCACTATCACTATCCCGATCACTATCACTACCCCTATCACTGTCACTACCCCTATCACTGTCACTACCCCTATCACTATCACTACTCCGATCACTATCACTGTCACTACCCCTATCACTGTCACTACCCCTATTACTATCACTACCCCTATCACTGTCACTACCCCTATCACTATCACTACCCCTATCACTACCCCTATCACTGTCACTACCCCTATCACTATCACTACCCCTATCACTGTCACTACCCCTATCACTGTCACTACCCCGACCCCTATCACTGTCACTACCCCTATCACTGTCACTACCCCGATCACTATCACTGTCACTACCCCTATCACTGTCACTACCCCTATCACTATCACTACGCCTATCACTAGCCCTATCACTGTCACTACCCCTATCACTATCACTACCCCTATCACTATCACTACCCCTATCACTACCCCTATCACTGTCACTACCCCTATCACTATCACTACCCCTATCACTGTCACTACCCCTATCACTACTCCTATCACTACCCCTATCACTGTCACTACCCCTATCACTATCACTACCCCTATCACTGTCACTACCCCTATCACTGTCACTACCCCGACCCCTATCACTGTCACTACCCCTATCACTGTCACTACGCCTATCACTACCCTTATCACTGTCACTACCCCTATCACTATCACTACCCCTATCACTATCACTACCCCTATCACTACCCCTATCACTGTCACTACCCCTATCACTATCACTACCCCTATCACTGTCACTACCCCTATCACTACCCCTATCACTGTCACTACCCCTATCACTGTCACTACCCCTATCACTATCACTACCCCTATCACTACCCCTATCACTGTCACTACCCCTATCACTATCACTACCCCTATCACTGTCACAACCCGTATCACTACCCCTATCATTATCACTACCCCTATCACTGTCACTACCCCGATCACTATCACTGTCACTACTCCGATCACTATCACTGTCACTACCCCTATCACTGTCACTACCCCTATCACTATCACTACCCCTATCACTGTCACTACCCCTATCACTATCACTACCCCTATCACTACCCCTATCACTGTCAACTACCCCTATTACTATCACTACCCCTTTCACTGTCACTACCCCTATCACTGTCACTACCCAGACCCCTATCACTGTCACTACCCCTATCACTGTCACTATCCCGATCACTATCACTGTCACTACCCCGATCACTGTCACTACCCCTATCACTATCACTACCCCTATCACGATCACTACCCCTATCACGATCACTACCTCTATCACTGTCACTACCCCTATCACTACCCCTATCACTATCCCTATCACTACCCCTATTACTATCACTACCCCTATCACTACCCCTATCACTATCACTAACCCTATCACTATCACTACCCCTATCACTATCACTACCCCTATCACTGCCACTACCCCTATCACTGTCACTACCCCTATCACTATCACTACCCCTATCACTATCACTACCCCTATCACTGCCACTACCCCTATCAATGTCACTACCCCATCACTATCACTACCCCTATCACAGCTGGTGCACGCGCACATGCGTGTGTGAGTGAGTTGTGTGAGTGGTGTGTGTGTGTGCGGTGTGTGTGTGTGCGCGGTGTATGTGTGGTGTGGTGTGTGTGAGTGGTGTGTGTGTGTTTGAGTGGTGTGTGTGTGTGAGTGGTGTGTGTGTGTGGTGTGTGTGTGAGTGGTGTGTGTGTGAGTGGTGTGAGTGGTGTGTGGGTGAGTGGTATGTGTGTGTGTGAGTGGTGTGAGTGGAGTGTGTGTGTGTGAGCTGACACAGCAGGGGACCACAGCTGGTAGGGCTGAACGATTTGGGGAAAATATCAAATTGCGATTTTTTTTCTGACAGATATTGCCATTTGATTTGCGATTACAATTTTTTGAAATCAAGCTTCAGTTCAATATTCACTGCGTAATAGATTTCAAACACGTGATGGAGCGTTACCACGTGATACCATCAAAAATAAGAACTGCTCTTTATATTCTAATGCAGGGATGAGAACTTGAAAGATTTGAATTGCTTCCACCATGTATTTACTAAAATGTTTTAATTGAAATGGAACAATCAAACATGCAGCAATTGTTAAGTTAAATAAAGTTAATATAATAATAAACAAAAATAAAAAAATACCCAATAAGAAATCTTCTTTGGTTCTTTCGGTAAAGTCACGTAGAATGATAATAAAATAATAAATTGATAAAATAAAATAACACTTTATAACAATTTATTATTTTATTATCATTCTACGTGACTTTACCGAAAGAACCAAAGAAGATGAATCATTGCAGTCACCAAAGCTTTATATCGAAAAAACCCAATAAGAAAGTCACGGGAATTTTTCAAATCGCAAATAAAAAAAATCGCGAGCCTTTGCGACTTGCCAATCGGGGTTGTTTCAAATTGCCATGAATCGATTTGAAATCGATTCATCGTTCAGCCCTACGTGTCAGCTGGTGCCACCCATAGCAGGCAGCCCGTCCACGCCGCGTTGGTGACCCCACACCCCACACAACCACCAAACCCCGTGTCCTCCCTCCGTGTCGTCTGCGCTGTTACAGGTGAAGGTGGACAAGAAATACGAGAACACCACGGTGGGACTCTGCGGAAGCTACAGCGGCGTCCGTGAAGCCAGAGGTGAGAATTGCCGCGAATCTCTGGCCGTCGCCTGACGAAGCCGGTTGTGGTTGTTGGCGGAGCGTCGGGCTCGGGTTGTGAAATGTTGCGGCTTGGCTCTCCAACGCAACCGGTGTGGTGCTGTAGTGGTATACTACACTATACACTACACTATACACTACTATACACTATACTATACACGACACTATACACTACTATACACTACACTATACACTACTATACACTATACTATACACTACTATACACTATACACTACTCTACACTACTATACACTACACTATACACTACACTATACACTACTATACACTACACTATACACTACACTACTATACACTACACTATACACTACACTATACACTACACACTACTATACACTACACTACACACTACACTATACACTACTATACACTACACTATACACTACTATACACTACACTATACACTACACCACTATAAACTCCACAACACACTACACGATACACTACACGATACACTACACTATACACTACACTATACGCTACACACTACACTACTACACTGTACACTACTACACTATACACTACACGATACACTAGTGCTGTACTAGTGTATAGTGGAGTATGAAGGTGTGTTGTGGAAACTGCGCGATTGCATGATCACACGGACAGTGTGTGGGTTATCTGGGGTCAGCCTGTGGAGAAGGCGAAAACAGTGTGGGTCGTGTTAGGACAGCCAGGTGCAAGGGCCGGGATGATGAGCTAACGGTTGGGCCAATTAAGCCAGAGGATCAGCAACGGCGGCGATTGGCTGTGGCTGTTGTCAAGGGCGAGGAGGCGTCGAGATGTCTGGAGAAAGGACAGGTGTTTGAGGACTAGAAGCGTACGGAGGCACGCGGGCCAATTAATTAGCGATAATGAGAATGGGGATAAATTGGGGGGAGACACACGGAGAGCGGGGAGTTGGAGTTGGGGAGCCGGACGACGAAGACGTGGAGTTGGAAATAGAGTTCGTAAACAGAGTTTGGAGACAGAGTGGTTAACGGAGTTGGAACAGAGTGTGAAGCAAGACGGAGTAGTTAGCGGTGGAGTGAGCGTGGCGACAGCGGAGCCGAAGACGCTGTCTGCGGAGTTGCTGAACGGGGGAGTCGCTGAGTGCGAAGCAAGTGAAGCGATAGTCGGGGAGACAAAGGCGGCGAGCGAGACGAGCGGAGCACGGCGAGCTAGCCGCGGTGACCAGGATACCGCGGAGTGTGGAGGACGTGTTGAATGTCGTAAATAAAGCGGTGTTCGAAGAAAGACAGTAGTTGCCCGCGTAAAGTCGAACACTACACTAGTATACTACACTATACACTACTATACACTCCACGATACACTAGTGCTGTGCTAGTAACGAGTTGGCGCGTCCTGTGTACGTGACACGGCCCCTGACTGATTGGCTGTGTCGGGTGGTGGCGGGTTTAACCACCGCTGATATATTTACGTGATCTAACCGCCCCCCGCCCCCCCCCACTAACCCCCCCCCCCCACCTCTGTATTACGGAGTGCAGTAGTATATAATGTAGTGTAACCATTCACATTCCTCAACCCTCTCCTCCTACCCCCTGCCACCCCCACCCACTGGCCTGACCCTCCATAGACACCGTCTCCTCGTGGGTACAATCCATGAACACGGGGTCCTGCAAAGCGGACGTCTACACGCCGATCGCTGACCTCAACAAGGTGAGTGTCACTGGGGGCGGGGGGTGGGGGGTGGGGGGTGGGGGGGTGGGCGCCTCGGGCCCCGCACCTTGGGGATGAGAGGGATGGCATTGCGTGTTCTGGGTACCAAAGACAAAGGTTGCTCCCCTACCCCCGTGTAGCCTCTACAGGGACTGGGGGCAAGTGCTGTTCGGAGCGAGTCGCAGGCGAGAATCGAAGTCGGGTTCGCCGGGTTTCGTAGCTCGGTGCGCTAACTGCTGCACCACCCATCCCCCCACCCACCCACCCACCCACCTCCCCATACAGACACACACCAAACAAAAAACAAAGATACCCCGTGTAGCCTTAACAGACTGTTGGGGCAGGTGATGTTAGCTCGTGGCACCTGGGAAGGCTGGCGGCCGGTGTGGCACACGAAGGGGGTGGGTGGCCAGCGCCACGCCCGGCCGCCTTTGTCTCCCCCCGTGGCGATGTTCACTATTACACACCGCTACACCAGGTGCTCACTTGAGGCTGAGTCGACCTAGGGGAGGCCCAGGTGTCCCACACACACAGCGATCCAGCGTGTAGGGCACGCGGACAACGGCTGCTGTCCCCAGATGGAGGCCAGTCCAGGGACAGAGAGTAGGGAGATGTTAAACTGTTGTTTTCTGTGTCTCGCCTGCACCTCCTCCACCACCTCCACCACCATCACCACCACCATCACCTACAACACCACCACCACCACCTCCACCACCACCTCCATCACCACCACCATCACCTACAACACCACCACCACCACCTCCTCCACCACCTCCACCACCATCACCACCACCATCACCTACAACACCACCACCACCACCTCGTCCACCACTTCCACCACCTCCATCACCTCCACCACCACTACCTCCACCACCACCTCCATCACCACCACCATCACCTACAACACCACCACCACCATCTCCATCACCATCTCCATCACCACCACCATCACCTACAACACCACCACCACCACCTCGTTCACCACCTCCACCACCACTACCTCCACCACCATCTCCATCACCACCACCATCACCTACAACACCACCACCACCACCTCCACCACCACCTCCATCACCACCACCATCACCTACAACACCACCACCACTACCTCCACCACCTCCTCCACCACCTACACCACCACCTACACCACCACCTCTACCACTACCTCCATCACCTCCACCACCACCACCTCCTCTTCCTTCATCACCTCCACCATCACCACCTCCACCACCACCTCCACCACCACCTCCACCACCACCTCCACCACCACCACCACCTCCACCACCTCCATCACCACCTCCACCTCTACCACCACCTCCATCACCACCACCACCTCTACCACCACCTCTACCACCACCACCACCACCCCCCCCACCCCAGCAAGTGGAGTGCGTGGCGCGCTTCTCGGCCTTCACCTCCTGCACGGAGAACAACTCCCCCTTCGTGGGGCTCTGCCTGGACGCCGCCTCCGCTGCCGCCTCGGCGTCGGCCTCGGCTTGCGCGTCCGAGGCGGTCTACGCCCGCCGCTGCCTCCTGCACGGCTTCCCCGCCGACTCCTGGAGGGAGGCCAGCACCTGCCGTGAGTTGCCGTCGCGCGCCCCACCGCCCGCCCCACCGCCCGTCCCACCGCCCGCCCCACCGCCCGCCCCACCGCGGGCTCGGCGGCAGGAGGGGTCAGGGTTTTTGGTCGGGTGGTGGAGGGTCAGGTGGTGGAGGGTCAGGTGATGGAGGGTCAGCTAGTGGAGGGTCAGGTGGTGTAGGGTCAGGGTTTTTGTCATGTGGTGGAGGGTCAGATGGTGGAGGGTCAGGTGGTGTAGGGTCAGGTGGTGTAGGGTCAGGGTTTTTGTCATGTGGTGGAGGGTCAGGTGGTGGAGGGTCAGGTGGTGGAGGGTCAGGTGGTGGAGGGTCAGCTAGTGGAGGGTCAGGTGGTGGAGGGTCAGGTGGTGGAGGGTCAGCTAGTGGAGGGTCAGGTGGTGGAGGGTCAGGGTTTTTGGTCGGGTGGTGGAGGGTCAGGTGGTGGAGGGTCAGGTGGTGGAGGGTCAGGTGGTGGAGGGTCAGCTAGTGGAGTGTCAGGTGGTGGAGGGTCAGCTAGTGGAGGGTCAGGTGGTGTAGCGTCAGGGTTTTTGTCAGGTGGTGGAAGGTCAGCTGGTGGAGGGTCAGGTGGTGTAGGGTCAGGTGGTGTAGGGTCAGGGTTTTTGGTCGAGTGGTGGAGGGTCAGGTGGTGGAAGGTCAGGTGGTGGAGGGTCAGGTGGTGGAGGGTCAGCTAGTGGAGGGTCAGGTGGTGTAGCGTCAGGGTTTTTGTCATGTGGTGGAGGGTCAGATGGTGGAGGGTCAGGTGGTGTAGGGTCAGGTGGTGTAGGGTTAGGTGGTGTAGGGTCAGGTGGTGGAGGGTTAGGTGGTGTAGGGTCAAGGTGGTGTAGGGTCAGGGTTTTTGTCATGTGGTGGAGGGTCAGATGGTGGAGGGTCAGGTGGTGTAGGGTTAGGTGGTGTAGGGTCAAGGTTTTTGGTCAGGTGGTGTAGGGTCAGGCGGTGTAGGGTCAGGTGGTGGAGGGTCAGGTGGTGTAGGGTTAGGTGGTGTAGGGTCAAGGTTTTTGGTCAGGTGGTGTAGGGTCAGGCGGTGTAGGGTCAGGGTTTTTGTCAGGCGGTGGAGGGTCAGCTGGTGGAGGGTCAGGTGGTGTAGGGTCAGGTGGTGGAGGGTCAGGTGATGGAGGGTCAGGTGGTGTAGGGTCAGGCGGTGTAAGGTCAGGGTTTTTGTCAGGCGGTGGAGGGTCAGCTGGTGGAGGGTCAGGTGGTGTAGGGTCAGGTTGTGTAGGGTTAGGTGGTGTAGGGTCAGGGTTTTTGGTCAGGTGGTGTAGGGTCAGGCGGTGTAGGGTCAGGGTTTTTGTCAAGTGGTGGAGGGTCAGGTGGTGTAGGGTCAGGTGGTGTAGGGTCAGGTGATGGAGGGTCAGGTGATGGAGGGTCAGGTGGTGTAGGGTCAGGTTGTGTAGGGTTAGGTGGTGTAGGGTCAAGGTTTTTGGTCAGGTGGTGTAGGGTCAGGCGGTGTAGGGTCAGGGTTTTTGTCAAGTGGTGGAGGGTCAGGTGGTGTAGGGTCAGGTGGTGTAGGGTCAGGTGATGGAGGGTCAGGTGATGGAGGGTCAGGTGGTGGAGGGTCAGGTGGTGGAGGGTCAGGGTTTTTTGTCAGGTGGTGGAGGGTCAGGTGGTGGAGGGTCAGGTGGTGTAGGGTCAGGTGGTGGAGGGTCAGGTGGTGTAGGGTCAGGTGGTGTAGGGTCAGGGTTTTTGTCAGGTGGTGGAGGGTCAGGTGGTGGAGTGTCAGGTGGTGGAGGGTCAGGGTTTTTGTCAGGTGGTGTAGGGTCAGGTGGTGGAGGGTCAGGTGGTGGAGGGTCAGGTGGTGGAGGGTCAGGTGGTGTAGGGTCAGGGTTTTTGGTCGGGTGGTGTAGGGTCAGGTGGTGTAGGGTCAGGTGGTGTAGGGTCAAGGTTTTTGGTCAGGTGGTGTAGGGTCAGGTGGTGTAGGGTCAGGGTTTTTGTCAGGTGGTGGAGGGTCAGGTGGTGTAGGGTCAGGTGGTGGAGGGTCAGGTGGTGGAGGGTCAGGTGGTGGAGGGTCAGGTGGTGGAGGGTCAGGTGGTGTAGGGTCAGGGTTTTTGTCAGGTGGTGAAGGGTCAGGTGGTGGAGGGTCAGGTGGTGGAGGGTCAGGTGGTGGAGGGTCAGGTGGTGGAGGGTCAGGGTTTTTGTCAGGTGGTGTAGGGTCAGGTGGTGGAGGGTCAGGTGGTGTAGGGTCAGGGGTCAGGTACTAGAAGGTCAGGGGTCAAGTCCTAGAGGGTCAGGTGCTAGAGGTTCAGGGGTCAGGTACTAGAAGGTCAGGGGTCAAGTACTAGAGGGTCAGCTGCGAGAGGTTCAGGTGTTTTAACACATTAATACAGTTCCTGCTCTATTACCAGGAAGGGTAAAAACCCTATTATCATGATTTAATACTGGCAAAGAAGGCCTCGTGATAATCCATGTTGGGGAGAAACCCTCCACCACCCGACACAGCCAACTCGTGAGGGATTTGTCGCGTGAACAAAGCGCCAAATAGTTTACTGCTATAGTTTAGTGTATAATGTAGTATATAGTGTAGTGTAAAGTGTATAGTGTCGTGTATAGTAGTGTATAGTGTAGTGTATAGTGTAGCAGTGTATAGTGTGGTGTATAGTGTGGTGTATAGTGTGGTGTGTAGTAGTGTATAGTGTAGTGTGTAGTGTAAAGTGTAGTGTAAAGTGTATAGTGTCGTGTATAGTAGTGTATAGTGTAGTGTATAGTGTTGTGTATAGTGTAGTAGTGTATAGTGTAGTGTATAGTGTAGTGTATAGTGTGGTGTATAGTGTAGTGTACAGTGTAGTGTATAGTGTGCTGTATAGTGTAGTGCATAGTGTAGTGTATAGTGTAGTGTATAGTAGTGTATAGTGTAGTGTATAGTGTAGTAGTGTATAGTGTAGTGTATAGTGTAGTGTATAGTGTAGTGTAGAGTATAGTGTAGTGTATAGTGTAGTAGTGTAGTGTATAGTGTAGTGTATAGTGTAGTGTATAGTAGTGTGTAGTGTATAATGTAGTGCATAGTGTAGTGTATAGTGTAGTGTATAGTAGTGTGTATTGTATAGTGTAGTGTATAGTGTAGTGTATAGTAGTGTATAGTGTAGTGTATAGTGTCGTGTATAGTAGTGTATAGTGTAGTAGTGTATAGTGTAGTGTATAGTGTAGTGTATAGTGTGGTGTATAGTGTAGTGTATAGTGTAGTGTATAGTGTAGTAGTGTATAGTGTAGTGTATAGTGTATAGTGTAGTGTATAGTGTAGAGAGCCTTTGTCATGAAATTTCTGATACATTCTGATCGACCGCCCCCCCCCCCTCACTCCCCCCCCCCTCCCCCGCGTGTTCGCCAACACCCCCCACACCCCCCCCCCCCCCCCCACGTCCGCGTCACAGAGGAGCCGAGCTGCTCGGCCAGCTTCGTCTTCAGCGACTGCGGCAGCCCCTGCACCAAGACGTGCTCCAACCCCGTGGGGGAGGTCCAGTGTGATGAGAGCTGTCTGCCCGGATGCTTCTGCCCCGAAGGTGGGTGGGGTGAGGTGGAGTGGGTGGGTGGGTGGGTGAGTGAGTGTGTGGGTGGGTGGGTTGGTGGGTGGGTGGATGAGTGGGTGAGTAAGTGAGTGTGTGGGTGAGTGAGTGGGTGGGTGGGTGAGTGGGTGGGTGAGTGGGTGGGTGGGTGAGTGGGTGGGTGAGTGGGTGGGTGAGTGGTAGGGTGGGTAAGTGGGTGTGTGGGTGAGTGGGTGGGTGGGTTGGTGAGTGGGTGGGTGAGTGGGTGGGTCAGTGGGTGTGTGGGTGAGAGGGTGGGTGGGTTGGTGAGTGGGTGGGTGGGTGGGTGAGTGGGTGGGTGGGTGAGTGGGTGTGTGGGTGAGTGGGTGGGTGGGTGGGTGGGTGAGTGGGTGGGTGGGTGAGTGGGTGTGTGGGTGAGTGGGTGGGTAGGTGGGTGAGTGGGTGGGTGGGTGGGTGAGTCGGAGGTCCAGTGTGATGAAAGCTGTCTGCCCGGATGCTTCTGCCCCGAAGGTGGGTGGGGTGAGGTGGAGTGGGTGGGTGGGTGGGTGGGTGGGTTGGTGGGTGGGTGGGTGAGTGGGTGAGTAAGTGAGTGTGTGGGTGAGTGGGTGGTTGGGTGAGTGGGTGGGTGGGTGAGTGGGTGGGTGGGTAAGTGGGTGGGTGGGTGAGTGGGTGGGTGAGTGGGTGGGTGAGTGGGTGGGTGAGTGGGTGGGTGGGTGAGTGGGTGGGTGGGTGAGTGGGTGGGTGGGTGAGTGGGTGGGTGGGTGGGTGAGTGGGAGGTCCAGTGTGATGAAAGCTGTCTGCCCGGATGCTTCTGCCCCGAAGGTGGGTGGGGTGAGGTGGAGTGGGTGGGTGGGTGGGTGAGTGGGTGGGTGGGTGAGTGGGTGGGTGAGGGGTGGGTGAGTGGGTGGGTGGGTGAATAGGTGGGTGGGTGAGTGGGTGAGTGGGTGGGTGGGTGGGTAAGTGGGTGTGTGGGTGGGTGGGTGAGTGGGTGGGTGGGTGGGTGAGTGGGTGGGTGAGTGGGTGGGTGAGTGGGTGGGTGAGTGGGTGGGTGGGTGAATAGGTGGGTGGGTGAGTGGGAGGTCTAATGTGATGAGAGCTGTCTGCCCGGATGCTTCTGCCCCGAAGGTGGGTGGGGTGAGGTGGAGTGGGTGGGTGGGTGAGTGGGTGGGTGGGTGGGTGAATAGGTGGGTGGGTGAGTGGGTGGGTGGGTGAGTGGGTCGGTGGGTGAGTGGGTGGGTGGGTGAGTGGGAGGTGCAGTGCGACGAGACCTGCCCACCTACTCACCCCACTCACCTACTCAACCAACCACTTCACTCAGCCGCCCACCTAGTAACCCACCCACCCCACTTACCCAGCCACTAACCTACTCGCCCACCCACCTAACCGCCCACCCACCCACCTGACCAACCAACCACTCACTCACCTGCCCACCTACTCACCCACCCACCCCAATCACCCAGCCACTAACCTACTCGCCCACCCACCTAACCACCCGCCCACCCCAATCACCCAGCCATTAACCTACTCGGCCACCCACCTAACCACCCACCCACCCACCTGACCAACCAACCACTCACTCACCTGCCCACCTACTCACCCACCCACCTCAATCACCCAGCCACTAACCTACTCGCCCACCCACCTAACCGCCCACCCACCCACCTGACCAACCAACCACTCACTCACCTGCCCACCTACTCAACCACCCACCCAATCACCCAGCCACTAACCTACTCGCCCACCCACCTAACCACCCACCTACCCACCTGACCAACCAACCACTCACTCACCTGCCCACCTACTCACCCACCCACCCACCCCAATCACCCAGCCACTAACCTACTCGCCCACCCACCTAACCACCCACCCACCCACCTGACCAACCAACCACTCACTCACCTGCCCACCTACTCACCCACCCACCCCAATCACCCAGCCACTAACCTACTCGCCCACCCACCTAACCACCCACCCACCCACCCACCTGACCAACCAACCACTCACTCACCTGCCCACCTACTCACCCACCCACCCCAATCACCCAGCCACTAACCTACTGGCCCACCCACCCACCCGCAGGCACGGTGCTGGACGACTACGAGACAAAGACCTGTGTGCCTCCCACCTCGTGCAAGTGCAAGCGCAACGGCCTCCTCTACAACTCCGGCACCGTGCTTGAGGAGACGTCCAGCATCTGGTGAGAGAGGGGGCCCATGCGCCTCCCCCTCCCCATTGGACCCTAACCCCCCAGCCCCCCTCTCTACCCCGTAGGCCCCCCACAATCTCTCCTATCTCTAACTTGTCATCTCACTCCACTCCGCTCACTCTCCTACCTCTAACTTATCATCTCACTCCACTCCGCTCACTCTCCTACCTCTAACTTATCATCTCACTCCACTCCGCTCACTCTCCTGCCTCCAACTTCTCATCTCACTCCACTCCACTCACTCCCCTACCTCCAACTTATCATCTCACTCCACTCCGCTCACTCTCCTGCCTCTAACTTATCATCTCACTCCACTCCACTCACTCTCCTGCCTCCAACTTCCCATCTCACTCCACTCCGCTCACTCTCCTGCCTCCAACTTCTCATCTCACGCCACTCCGCTCACTCTCCGTCCTCTAACTTATCATCTCACTCCACTCCACTCACTCTCCTGCCTCTAACTTCCCATCTCACTCCACTCCACTCACTCTCCTGCCTCCAACTTCCCATCTCACTCCACTCCACTCACTCCCCTACCTCCAACTTATCATCTCACTCCACTCCACTCACTCCCCTACCTCTAACTTATCATCTCACTCCACTCCACTCACTCTCCTGCCTCCAACGTCTCATCTCACTCCACTCCACTCACTCCCCTACCTCCAACGTATCATCTCACTCCACTCACTCTCCAACCTCTAACTTATCATCTCACTCCACTCCGCTCACTCTCCAACCTCTAACTTATCATCTCACTCCACTCCACTCACTCTCCTGCCTCTAACTTATCATCTCACTCCACTCACTCTCCAACCTCTAACTTATCATCTCACTCCACTCACTCTCCTGCCTCTAACTTATCATCTCACTCCACTCCACTCACTCTCCTGCCTCCAACTTCCCATCTCACTCCACTCCACTCACTCTCCTACCTCCAACTTATCATCTCACTCCACTCCACTCACTCTCCTGCCTCCAACTTCTCATCTCACTCCACTCCACTCACTCTCCTACCTCCAACTTATCATCTCACTCCTCTCACTCTCCAACCTCTAACTTATCATCTCACTCCACTCCACTCACTCTCCTGCCTCTAACTTATCATCTCACTCCACTCCACTCACTCTCCTGCCTCCAACTTCCCATCTCACTCCACTCCACTCACTCTCCTACCTCCAACTTATCATCTCACTCCACTCCACTCACTCTCCTGCCTCCAACTTCTCATCTCACTCCACTCCACTCACTCTCCTGCCTCCAACTTCCCATCTCACTCCACTCCACTCACTCTCCTACCTCTAACTTATCATCTCACTCCGCTCACTCTCCTGCCTCCAACTTATCATCTCACTCCACTCCGCTCACTCTCCTGCCTCCAACTTATCATCTCACTCCACTTCGCTCACTCTCCTACCTCCAACTTATCATCTCACTCCACTCCACTCACTCTACAACCTCTAACTTATCATCTCACTCCACTCCACTCACTCTCCTACCTCTATCTTATCATCTCACTCCACTCCACTCACTCTCCTGCCTCTAACTTATCATCTCACTCCACTCCACTCACTCTCCTGCCTCCAACTTATCATCTCACTCCACTCCACTCACTCTCCTGCCTCTAACTTATCATCTCACTCCACTCCACTCACTCTCCTGCCTCTAACTTATCATCTCACTCCACTCCACTCACTCTCCTGCCTCCAACTTATCATCTCACTCCACTCCACTCACTCTCCTGCCTCCAACTTATCATCTCACTCCACTCCACTCACTTTCCTGCCTCCAACTTATCATCTCACTCCACTCCGCTCACTTTCCTGCCTCTAACTTATCATCTCACTCCACTCCACTCACTCTCCTGCCTCTAACTTATCATCTCACTCCACTCCACTCACTTTCCTGCCTCTAACGTATCATCTCACTCCACTCCGCTCACTCTCCAACCTCTAACTTATCATCTCACTCCACTCCACTCACTCTCCTGCCTCTAACTTATCATCTCACTCCACTCACTCTCCAACCTCTAACTTATCATCTCACTCCACTCCACTCACTCTCCTGCCTCTAACTTATCATCTCACTCCACTCCACTCACTCTCCTGCCTCCAACTTCCCATCTCACTCCACTCCACTCACTCTCCTACCTCCAACTTATCATCTCACTCCACTCCACTCACTCTCCTGCCTCCAACTTCTCATCTCACTCCACTCCACTCACTCTCCTACCTCCAACTTATCATCTCACTCCTCTCACTCTCCAACCTCTAACTTATCATCTCACTCCACTCCACTCACTCTCCTGCCTCTAACTTATCATCTCACTCCACTCCACTCACTCTCCTGCCTCCAACTTCCCATCTCACTCCACTCCACTCACTCTCCTACCTCCAACTTATCATCTCACTCCACTCCACTCACTCTCCTGCCTCCAACTTCTCATCTCACTCCACTCCACTCACTCTCCTGCCTCCAACTTCCCATCTCACTCCACTCCACTCACTCTCCTACCTCTAACTTATCATCTCACTCCACTCACTCTCCTGCCTCCAACTTATCATCTCACTCCACTCCGCTCACTCTCCTGCCTCCAACTTATCATCTCACTCCACTCCGCTCACTCTCCTACCTCCAACTTATCATCTCACTCCACTCCACTCACTCTACAACCTCTAACTTATCATCTCACTCCACTCCACTCACTCTCCTACCTCTATCTTATCATCTCACTCCACTCCACTCACTCTCCTGCCTCTAACTTATCATCTCACTCCACTCCACTCACTCTCCTGCCTCCAACTTATCATCTCACTCCACTCCACTCACTCTCCTGCCTCTAACTTATCATCTCACTCCACTCCACTCACTCTCCTGCCTCTAACTTATCATCTCACTCCACTCCACTCACTCTCCTGCCTCCAACTTATCATCTCACTCCACTCCACTCACTCTCCTGCCTCCAACTTATCATCTCACTCCACTCCACTCACTTTCCTGCCTCCAACTTATCATCTCACTCCACTCCGCTCACTTTCCTGCCTCTAACTTATCATCTCACTCCACTCCACTCACTCTCCTGCCTCTAACTTATCATCTCACTCCACTCCACTCACTTTCCTGCCTCTAACGTATCATCTCACTCCACTCCGCTCACTCTCCTACCTCCAACTTATCATCTCACTCCACTCCACTCACTCTCCTGCCTCTAACTTATCATCTCACTCCACTCCACTCACTCCCCTACCTCTAACTTATCATCTCACTCCACTCAACTCACTCTCCTACCTCTAACTTATCATCTCACTCCACTCCACTCACTCTCCTGCCTCCAACTTCCCATCTCACTCCACTCCACTCACTCTCCTACCTCTAACTTATAATCTCACTCTTCTCCACTCACTCCCCTACCTCCAACTTATCATCTCACTCCACTCCACTCACTCTCCTGCCTCCAACTTCTCATCTCACTCCACTCCACTCACTCTCCTGCCTCTAACTTATCATCTCACTCCACTCCACTCACTCTCCTGCCTCCAACTTATCATCTCACTCCACTCCACTCACTCCCCTACCTCCAACTTATCATCTCACTCCACTCCACTCACTCTCCTGCCTCTAACTTATCATCTCACTCCACTCCGCTCACTCTCCTACCTCCAACTTATCATCTCACTCCACTCCACTCACTCTCCTGCCTCTAACTTATCATCTCACTCCACTCCACTCACTCCCCTACCTCCAACTTATCATCTCACTCCACTCCACTCACTCTCCTGCCTCTAACTTATCATCTCACTCCACTCCACTCACTTTCCTGCCTCTAACTTATCATCTCACTCCACTCCACTCACTCTCCTGCCTCTAACTTATCATCTCACTCCACTCCGCTCACTTTCCTGCCTCTAAGTTCTCATCTCACTCCACTCCACTCACTCTCCTGCCTCCAACTTATCATCTCACGCCACTCCACTCCGCTCACTCTCCTACCTCTAACTTATCATCTCACTCCACGCCACTCACTCTCCTACCTATCCCCTGTCACCGCACCAGGTTACAACGCTTAAGGCTGAGTCGACTTAGGGAGGTTCCTGTGCACACTCCACACAAAGACAAAGATCCCCCGAATAGCTTCATCAGACTGTCGGGGCGAGTGCTGTCAGTAGCGAGTAGCAGCACCAATAAAGGCCGGCACGGCACACGAGGGGGTGGGTGGCCAACACCACGCCCGGCCCTCTGATGATACTGCAGCCGCTGCAGCTGATGCCGCTGCTTCTGGTGACTCTGACTCTGCTGCTGATGATGATGATGACGACCCTGTTGATGATGATGATGACTCTACTGATTATGACCCTGTTGATGATGATGCTGATGATGACGACCCTGTTGATGATGATGCTGATGACGACCCTGTTGATGATGATGATGCTGATGATGATGACGACCCTGTTGATGATGACCCTGTTGATTAAGCTGATGATGACCCTATTGATGATGATGACTGCTAATGCGGACCCTGTTGATGATGATGCTGATGATGATGCTGCTCATGACTCTGTTGATGATGATGATGATGATTACTCTACTGATGATGACCCTGTTGATGATGATGATGACTCTGCCGATGGCGACCCTATTGATGATGATGATGGCGACCCTGTTGATGACGATGACTCTGCCGATGGCGACCCTGTTGATGATGATGATGACCCTGTTGATGACGATGACTCTGCCGATGGCGACCCTGTTGATGATGATGATGACTCTACCGATGATGACCCTGTTGATGATGACGAGGACTCTGCCGATGACGACCCTATTGATGATGATGATGAAGACCCTGTTGATGACGATGACTCTGCCGATGACGACCCTATTGATGATGATGATGAAGACCCTGTTGATGACGATGACTCTGCTGATGACGACCCTGTTGATGATGATGATGACGACCCTGTTGATGATGATGACTCTGCTGATGACGACCCTGTTGATGACGATGACTCTGCTGATGACGACCCTGTTGATGACGATGCTGATGACCCTGTTGATGACGATGACTCTGCCGATGACGACCCTATTGATGATGATGATGACCCTGTTGATGACGATGACTCTGCCGATGACGACCCTATTGATGACTCTGCTGATGACGACCCTGTTGATGACGATGACTCTGCTGATGACGACCCTATTGATGACGATGCTGATGACGCTGTTGATGACTCTGCTGATGACGACCCTGTTGATGATGATGATGACGACCCTGTTGATGATGATGACTCTGCTGATGACGACCCTGTTGATGACGATGACTCTGCTGATGACGACCCTGTTGATGACGATGCTGATGACCCTGTTGATGACGATGACTCTGCCGATGACGACCCTATTGATGATGATGATGACCCTGTTGATGACGATGACTCTGCCGATGACGACCCTATTGATGACTCTGCTGATGACGACCCTGTTGATGACGATGACTCTGCTGATGACGACCCTGTTGATGACGATGCTGATGACGCTGTTGATGACTCTGCTGATGACGACCCTCTTGATGACGATGCTGATGACGCTGTTGATGACTCTGCTGATGACGACCCTGTTGATGACGATGACTCTGCCGATGGCGACCCTATTGATGATGCTGATGACGACCCTGTTGATGACGATGCTGATGATGCTGTTGATGACTCTGCTGATGACGACCCTGTTGATGACGATGACTCTGCCGATGGCGACCCAATTGATGATGCTGATGACGACCCTGTTGATGACGATGCTGATGACGACCCTGTTGATGACTCTGCTGATGACGACCCTGTTGATGACGATGCTGATGACGACCCTGTTGATGACGATGCTGATGACGACCCTGTTGATGACTCTGCTGATGACGACCCTGTTGATGACTCTGCTGATGACGACCCTGTTGATGACGATGCTGATGACGACCCTGTTGATGACGATGCTGATGACGACCCTGTTGATGACGATGCTGATGACGCTGTTGATGACTCTGCTGATGACGACCCTGTTGATGACGATGACTCTGCCGATGGCGACCCAATTGATGATGCTGATGACGACCCTGTTGATGACGATGCTGATGACGCTGTTGATGACTCTGCTGATGACGACCCTGTTGATGACGATGACTCTGCCGATGACGACCCTGTTGATGACGATGCTGATGACGCTGTTGATGACTCTGCTGATGACGACCCTGTTGATGACGATGCTGATGACGACCCTGTTGATGACGATGCTGATGACGACCCTGTTGATGACGATGCTGATGACGACCCTGTTGATGACGATGCTGATGACGACCCTGTTGATGACGATGCTGATGACGCTGTTGATGACTCTGCTGATGACGACCCTGTTGATGACGATGACTCTGCCGATGGCGACCCTATTGATGATGCTGATGACGACCCTGTTGATGACGATGCTGATGACGCTGTTGATGACTCTGCTGATGACGACCCTGTTGATGACGATGACTCTGCCGATGGCGACCCTATTGATGATGCTGATGACGACCCTGTTGATGACGATGCTGATGACGCTGTTGATGACTCTGCTGATGACGACCCTGTTGATGACGATGACTCTGCCGATGACGACCCTATTGATGACTCTGCTGATGACGACCCTGTTGATGACGATGACTCTGCCGATGGCGACCCTGTTGATGACTCTGCTGATGATGACCCTGTTGATGACGATGCTGATGACGCTGTTGATGATGATGCTGATGACGACCCTGTTGATGACGATGCTGATAACGACCCTGTTGATGACTCTGCTGATGACGACCCTGTTGATGACTCTGCTGATGACGACCCTGTTGATGACGATGCTGATGACGACCCTGTTGATGATGATGCTGATGACGACCCTGTTGATGACTCTGCTGATGACGACCCTGTTGATGACGATGCTGATGACGCTGTTGATGACTCTGCTGATGACGACCCTGTTGATGACGATGACTCTGCCGATGGCGACCCTGTTGATGACTCTGCTGATGACGACCCTGTTGATGACGATGCTGATGACGACCCTGTTGATGACTCTGCTGATGACGACCCTGTTGATGACGATGCTGATGACGCTGTTGATGACTCTGCTGATGACGACCCTGTTGATGACGATGACTCTGCCGATGGCGACCCTGTTGATGACTCTGCTGATGACGACCCTGTTGATGACTCTGCTGATGACGACCCTGTTGATGACGATGACTCTGCCGATGGCGACCCTGTTGATGACTCTGCTGATGACGACCCTGTTGATGACGATGCTGATGACGACCCTGTTGATGACGATGCTGATGACGACCCTGTTGATGACGATGCTGATGACGCTGCTGGTTGTCCGGTTTGTCCGTGAGCAGCGGTTGCGCGAGCGGCGTCTGGAGCTGCACCTCGACGGCCGCCGACGCCATGTGCTCGCTGGAGGGCAGCACCCACGTGACCACGTTCGACTTCAACGCCTACGGCTTCTTCGGGGCGGGCAGCTTCATCCTCCTGTCGGTGCGGACCGCATCCGCATCCACAGGGGCACACAGACAAAGACAAAGATCGCCCATATAGCCTGCAACAGACTGTAGGGGCAAGTGCTGTTAGCGAGCAGCACCTATGAAGGCCGGTAACGGTACACGAGGGGGTGGGTGGCCAGCACCACGCCCGACCGCCTTTGTCTCCCCAGTGGCGATGTTTACTGCACACCGCGCCAGGTGCTCATTTGAGGCTGAGTCGACCTAGGGGAGGCCCCGGACCGGTTCAGATAATCGTCACTGGTGTTGGCCGTGAGCGGGAATCGAACCCGGGTCGCCAGGTTCATAGCGCAGCGTAGCGCTAACCGCTACTACACTATCGCTCCCCACGGTGCGGACCGCATCCACAGGGGCACACAGAGAACCCGAGCAGACACACACATGGACTGCCCACAGAGATGCACAGAGATGCGTGGAGACCCATAGGGACACGTGAAGTTAGGCAGAGACCCACAGAGATACAAAGAGACGCGTAGAGGTCCACAGAGACACGTGAAGATACACAGAAACACGTGAAAATACGCAGAGGCACACAGAGACATATAGAGACACACAGACACACATAGAGACCCATAGAGACGCACAGAGACACACAGAGACCCATGCAGATACACAAAGACCCACAGAGCTACACAGAGACATTTAGAGACCCACAGAGACACGTGAAGATACGCAGAGGCACACAGAGACCCATAGAGACACAGAGAGACACCACGTAGAGACCCATAGAGACACGTAGAGACCCACAGAGACACGTGAAGATACGCAGAGGCACACAGAGACCCATAGAGACACACGGAGACACGTAGAGACCCGTAGAGACTGGACGCCTGGAAAGAAGAGAGCTTCATAGCTCATCTGATTTCCTCCTCCGGTCTAAAGTAACGATTCCGCTTTGTGCACCGCGGGGGGGGGGGGGGGGGGGGGGGGGGGAGGGGGGGGGGTGGGGGTTGAACGGAATGAACCGAACAAACCGACGGAAAAACGAGCGGGAAGAGGAGCAGAGCGCGAGCGACCGACTCGACGGACCGACGCCGAGCGAGTGACTGCCGCACTCCGGCAGCGTTGGTCCGGGGTCGAGTCTAACGCAGGCGGGCATTGCCGCCCCGTCCCCAACCCCTTCCTCCCCCTCCGACACCACCGTCTCGCCCCATCTCACCCCCCACACCTTCTCCGCCCCATCCCTGCGCAGACGAACGGCTGGTCGGTGCAGATCGACATTGCGGACAAGGCGCCGGATTCACCGCGTCTGGAGGCCGTCTTCCTCAAGATGAATTCGGTAACCGGCGCCAGCCCCCCCCCTCCCTCCCCGTCTCGTTTCGCTCGCTGGACATTGGCAATGTTGTTGTCGTCGTCTGCGCTGCACGCTGCCCGCGACCTCTTGACCTGCCCGTACTAAAGAGGCGTTTGTTGTTGTTGTTGTAGGTGGGGTTTTTTTTGGGGAGGGGGGGGGTCAGTTCGCGCAATTACGGATATTTGCTCGCGAAAGCCCTACTGCGGCGGCTACTACCGCTACTACTACGTCTTAAACTCTTAAACCGCCACTTCGCACGCCGTGCAGAGTTTGGGCTTCCCACTGCACACCAGGCGAGAGAGAGAGAGTTAACATCTCCTTGCCACCGCGATGATGAGAGAAAACAAAACCAAAGCGTAACGCGTCTCGTCACCCCCTCCGGCAGGGCCTGCTGGAGATCCGCTCCGACGGGCAAGTGTACCTGGACGACACGGCGCTCGCGTTGCCCCACACCTCCGGTGAGACGCTGGCGACCGGCTCGCCCGACCGCTCGGTCGCTCGTGGCGCGGAAGGGGACGGCTGCCAGCATGGGGGTGCCCCTAGGCTGGACCACGATGAAATTAACTGATCTCGCTTCGCTGGCGAACTAGCACGGCAGCGGCAATCGTCACCCCCGGGCGACCCACCCACCCACCCACCCTGCCACTGCTGCCTGGCAGCCTAGCGCTCGCTCGCGGGCCACCGGTCACCCAGTGCCACGCAGAGACAGGTCCCACTGGGGGCGCCCCTAGGCTCGACCACACTTAACTAGCTTAACTAACTAACTAACGAACACAACAGCAGCAACAGCAGCAATCATCAGCCCACCCACCCACTGCTGCCCGCAGACTCGCGAACGCACGCAGGCCGTGCCACGCAGGGACAGCTGCCCCCCCACCCACCCACCCCCCTGGGGGTGGGGAGACAGCCCCTCCCCCCCACCACCCCCCCCCAACCCTGCCGCTCTTCCCCGATGAGTCGCGACGGCGGCGACGACTCCGCGCCTCGCCAAACACCGCCGGGCATCGCCGAGCGACAACTTTTTTGATTTGTTACCCTCGGTGCCCGGCAAGAATTCAGATGTCCTTCCCCCCTCCCCTCCTCCCCTCCCTTTGTGGCCGGGGACTTGCCTTCTCTCCCGGCACCTGGCTCTGCGACCTGCCCGATCTTGCACGCGTTGCGCTGGCATGCGGGCGGGCGGGCGGGCGGGCGGGCGGGCGCAGAGACGTCGATGTTGTTGTGTAGCCTCGGGCGAATGGGGCGGAGGTGGTGGGACGGGTCGCCCGCCGCTGCATTGGCACGCGTCCCGAGCGAAGGCAGTGTCGCTGCTGACACACGTTGCGGATTTCATATAAATATTTAGTGGAAGGCGCCTGGCAAATAAATGTCAATTATTATTTTCATCATGAAGTTCAATTGGTTGTAAAAGTAGCATACCCCGTCAAGCCATACCCCGTGCCCCTTTTCCATCTCAACGTCCATTCTGCAAAGTCCCATCATCACAAGGGAGAAACACAAACGGATAGGCAAAAAAAACAATTGCCCGCATTGAAACGGCTGTACTCCGCATGGACCTAAAAACTGTCCAAAAAATACGGACAAACCGTATGGGTTGACAGGCGCGTGATAAGCCAATTCGCTGAGCTATCAGTTGTGATAGCGAGGTCGCTTCTGAATAAGAGCCACGTAGCTCAATGGAAATGCATAAGAGCAGCCTAATACTCTAAAAACCATTTTTCTAAATGTGGAGGGGAAAAACCGGGGGACCCGGCGACAAATCCGCGCGACCACCAAGGAAAGAGAGAGAGAGAAAAAATTAAGAGAAAACACGCAGACTTCATATATACAGCATGCAACGTCAGGGTCGGAATCGAGACCATCACCTCCTGTACACCAGGCGAGGTAGTTAACACATCCTTTCACAATAAAGGTTTTTGGGTTAGAGCGCGTTATTTATAAATGTGTCGTAACCCTCCACCACCCGACACGGCCAAACGGTAAAAAAAAGATGTGTCACGTTTACAAAGGGCAATTAGTTCACGACTTTAGCCCACCGGCGTGTTGAAGAGTGAATCAACATCATTTAAAATTTGAGTACGACGTTTCGCTGGTAGTAACATCCAGCATCATCGGGCAATTCGCCAGAATGGTAAAGCCCTCACTTGCTCCCGGTCTTAAACAGAGCAGCAGGGTGACGTCATCATTTAACTCATTCAACACATCCTAGCCACCGCGGTGGCAAGATGGTGCGCGGCCTGATAGGGGCAGCCGTGGAGAGCTCAGGGCAACAGCTCCGGCACGTTCCCAGGCGTCCTTCTTACGTTCTCCCCACCCCACCCCACCCACCCACCCCCACAGATGTGCTGAAGATCTACGCGCAGACGACCACCTACATGCAGGTGTTCACCACCGTCGGCCTCAAGATGCAGGTTCAGCTGGCACCTCTCATGCAGCTCTACCTCACCGTGCCCACGTCCATGCAGGGGCAGACTCAAGGTGAGCGATTCCCCCCCACCACCGAACATGTTCCCTCCCCCCCTCCCCCCGCTGACCTCTGATCGTGACCTCTGGCCGTGACCTCCGACCATAGCCTCCAGCCGTGTGACCTCTGACCACAACCTCCGACTTTAACCTCCAACCATGACCTCTGATCGTGACCACCAATCGTGACTCTGATCGTAACCTGCAAACGTGACTTCTGATCGTGACCTCCGACCATAACATCCAACCGTGACCTCTGACCACAACCTCCGACTTTAACCTCCGACCATGACCTCTGATCGTGACCACCAATCGTGACTCTGATCGTAACCTGCAAACGTGACTTCTGATCGCGACCTCCGACCATAACATCCAACCGTGACCTCTGACCACAACCTCCGACTTTAACCTCCGACCATGACCTCTGATCGTGACCACCAATCGTGACTCTGATCGTAACCTGCAAACGTGACTTCTGATCGCGACCTCCGACCATAACATCCAACCGTGACCTCTGACCACAACCTCCGACTTTAACCTCCGACCATGACCTCTGATCGTGACCACCAATCGTGACTCTGATCGTAACCTGCAAACGTGACTTCTGATCGTGACCTCCGACCATAACATCCAACCGTGACCTCTGACCACAACCTCCGACTTTAACCTCCGACCATGACCTCTGGTCGTGACCACCAATCGTGACTCTGATCGTAACCTGCAAACGTGACTTCTGATCGCGACCTCCGACCATAACATCCAACCGTGACCTCTGACCACAACCTCCGACTTTAACCTCCGACCATGACCTCTGATCGTGACCACCAATCGTGACTCTGATCGTAACCTGCAAACGTGACTTCTGATCGTGACCTCCGACCGTAGCATCCAGCCGTGTGACCTCTGACCACAACCTCCGACTTTAACCTCCGACCATGACCTCTGATCGTGACCACCAATCGTGACTCTGATCGTGACCTGCAAACGTGACTTCTGATCGCGACCTCCGACCGTAGCCTCCAGCCGTGTGACCTCCGACCGTAATCTCTGCGCGTGACCGCCCTCACCCCCCACCCTCCACCGTGCCACTCGCAGGGCTGTGCGGCAGCTACAATGCGGAGAAGGCGGATGACCTGCGCACGCCGCAGGGCATCGTGGAGAGCGTGGCGCCGCAGTTCGTGGCGGCGTGGAGCAGCAAACCCCTGGGGGCCATCATCGCCGCCGACGCCGGCTCCGTCTGCCGCTACGGTGACCGCTCAGCGCCGTCACCGTCACCGTCACCGCCACATCGGTGGTCGTAGCTCAGCCGTGCTCCGTTTGCCGCGACGGTGGCCGCTGTCGCGAACGATAGCAGCTCAGCGAAGTCGCTGATATGGTCGTCGTCACGTGGACAACTATAGCAGCGGTCAAATACTCTAAGAGAGTGGTGATGTTGATATTAAATGTAAGGGGGGCGGTGGCGGGGGGGGGGTGGTAACCCGGAGAACACGCAGACTCCAAATATACAGCGGCGGGCATCGTCAGGGTCGGGATCGAACCCACGACCTCCTGTATACCAGGCGAAGAAGTTAACATCTCCTAGCCACCAGGCGAGATGTTAACTCCCTCCCCTGGTATACAGGAGGTCGCGGGTTCGATCCCGACCCTGATGCCGGTACATTTGGAGTTTGCACGTTCTTCCCGTTGTCGCATGGATATTTATCCGTGCCCTCTTGTTTTTTTTTTTTTCCCCTCCACATTTTCAATCAACATCTCTACGCGTTTGAGAGCATTCGTCCGCTGCCATGAATTTCCACGCGATGAAGATGATGATAAGCCACTCTGTTGACCTGCTATCATTTGTGATGGCTGGGTCAGTCACGGGTGCCTTACTCACTCACCCAACTCCCCACTCACCCACCAGGGCCGAATTAGCCCAGTAGCAAAAGTAGCAAATGCTACGGGCCCCGCACTTTCAAGGGCCCCGCGCTAAAATCTTTCAAGCTATCAATTTCCGGTTCAGTGATTCTGCACTTACTCTATTGCTACAGTACTATACTGGCCTTCAACTTTTATGAACGACTGGGTGCTTAAGGTTAGCGATATGTTGTATCTTCTGGCTGTATAACAAGTTAGAAAATAGTTCGATTTTTTTTATTATATATATATAATTTAGGGCCCCTTTGCAGCAAATGCTACAGGCCCCACGCACTAGCTTCATCCGGCACTGGGCGCTACGCGTGAGAAACAGGCGGAGTAATGGCGGCGGTAGTGGTTTTTGCAAAAGTGGAGCTGTCCTTTCTTCACCCCAAGCCCACACTTGCCCACGGCGCTCTCTCCCGATCCGTTCCCCCACCAAATTCCCAGATGATCCCCTCCTATAACTGTCTTGCCTGCTCCTCGTATTCCACCACTGTCTCGCTCCCTTTGGCGGGAATCCTACGCATGCGCCTTAACCCACTGTCCACCTCCATCCTTACCCCCGACATCGCATATACTACTATACACTACACTATGCACTACACTAAACACTACACTATACACTACACTATGCACTACACTAAACACTACACTATACACTACACTATGCGCTACACTATACACTGCACTATATACTACACTATACACCACACTATACACTACACTATACACTACTATACACCACTATACACTACACTATACACCACCCTATACACTGCACTATACACTACACTATACACTACACTATATAGTATTATACACTACACTATGCACTACACTATACACTGCACTATATGCTACACTATACACTATACTATACACCACCCTATACACTGCACTATACACTACACTATACACCACCCTATACATAATACACTACACTATACACCAGTCATCACCGAAGGCCCTAACCGAGCCAACGTGCCCTTAGGGCCTGTCAAGAACCTTCGAACCACCCCTCGCTCATTGGCGTCACCGTGGCCCCGCCTCCTGACCCGTTGCCCCTCCCCCACCGCCCCGCGTGTCTCCCCCACCCGCAGAGGATCTGTCGAAGAACTGCGAGCTGATTGGCCCACCCGTTTTCCTCAAGTGCCAGCATGTGGTGGACCCCCTACCGTACTATCAGGTAAGGAGGAGTGTGTGTGGTGTGTGTGTGGTGTGTGTGTGTGGTGTGTGTGGTGTGTGTGGTGTGTGTGTGGTGTGTGTGTGGTGTGTGTGTGGTGTGTGTGTGGTGTGTGCGTGTGGTGTGTGTGTGGTGTTTTGAGATGTATAAGGTAGGGCACTGATCAGGGGTTGACAGGTATGTAGTAGTGTAGTGTATAGTGTAGTGTATATTAGTGTGTAGTGTATAGTGTAGTGTATAGTGTAGTGTATAGTGTAGTGTATAGTGTAGTGTATATGATGAACGTTGAGATTCATAAGGGGCACGGGGTGACCAATAAGCTCTGAAATGGTCTGTAATAAGGTAAGACACTGATAAGGGGTTCACAAGTATGGTATGTCGTCTGTGTCTATCTGTATGCATCAGTGTCTGTGTGTCTGTGCGTCTATGTGTGGGGAGCGGTAGTGTAGCGGGTAGCGCACCACGCTATGAACCTGGCCACCCGGGTTCGATTCCCGCTCGCGGTCAACACCCAGTGACGAGTCATTTGAACCGGTCCCGGGCCTCGCCTAGGTCGACTCAGCCTCAAATTGAATACCTGGTGTGGTGTGTAAACATCGCCACTTGGGAGACAAAGGCGGCCACCCCCTGGTGTGTCGTGCTGTTAGCGAGCACCTATGAAGGTTGTCACTACAGGGAATCTTTGTCTTTGTATGCATCAGTGTTTCTGTATGTAGGTATGTGCATGTCTGTGTGCGTCTGTATGTATGTACGTCTGTATGTACGTCTGTATGTATGTACGTCTGTATGTACGTCTGTATGTATGTCTGTATGTACGTCTGTCTGTATGTTTGTATGTACGTCTGTCTGTATGTCTGTATGTATGTATGTATGTCTGTATGTACGTCTGTCTGTATGTCTGTATGCATATCTTTGTATGCGTCTGTGCGTCTGTGTTTCGTCTGTGCGCGTCCGTGCGTCTGTACTGCTGCACGATTGTCTCTGTCTCGCCACGTGTGTGTGTGTCTGTTTGTGTATGTCTGTATGTATGTCTTTGTCTCTGTGTCTCTGTCTCACCGCGCGTTTCTGTACGTATGTCTTCGTATGCGTCTGCGAATCTCTGCGCGTGCGTGTGTCTGTGCGCGTGCACGATCGTCTCCGCGTCTCTGTGTCTCACCGTGTATGCCTGTCCGTGTGTCTGTCTGTATGTCATTGTCTCCGTGTCTCCGTGTCTCACCACCTATGTGTGTGTGTGTGTTTGTGTACGTATGTCTCCAGACGCGTCTCTGCGCGTCTCCGTGCGTCCGTCGGCACGATTGTCTCTGTCTCACCGGGTGCGTGCGCGCGTTTGCCCTTCTCAGAACTGCAAACACGACACGTGCCACTGTGGGAAGGACTGCTTCTGCGCGTCAGTCTCGGCGTACGCGCACGCCTGCGCGCTGCGCGGGGTGCTCGTCGCCAACTGGAACCCCGAGATCTGCGGTGAGAGTTAAGGACGGAGCTACGGGAATGGCCGGAATGAAACAGGAATGTCGGAAGATGTCCGAGCGCCAAACGGAAACCCTTTCGCAAGGAATCCCGTCACTGCATTGACCACACGCACGCAGTAGTTGTGGTGGAGATGCAAACAAAACAACATGCTCTGGTAGTGTTTGATGATGATGATGATGATGCATTGCCTTGTCTAGTCTCACTACCAGCGCTAGACCAGAGGACAAGGCCAAAAGACGAACAGCACAAAGCCAATGCCACTATCAGGACATTGAGAGCTCGGGGCGAGCAGCTCCACCATGGGACCCACCCACCCCCAAACCCCCACCCCCACCCACCTCCAAACCCCCACCCACCTCCAAACCCCCACCCACCCCCAAACCCCCACCCACCTCCAAACCCCCACCCACCCCCAAACCCCCACCCCCACCCACCTCCAAACCCCCACCCACCTCCAAACCCCCACCCCCACCCACCCCCAAACCCCCACCCACCCCCAAACCCCCACCCACCCCCAAACCCTCACCCACCCCCAAACCCCCACCCACCCCCAAACCCCCACCCACCCCCAAACCCTCACCCACCCCCAAACCCCCACCCACCCCCAAACCCCCACCCACCCCCAAACCCCCACCCACCCCCAAACCCCCACCCACCCCCAAAACCCCAACCCCCACCCACCCCCAAACCCCCACCCCCACCCCCAAACCTCCACCCACCCCCAAACCCCCACCCCCACCCACCCCCAAACCCCCACCCACCCCCACCCACCCCCAAACCCCCACCCACCCCCAAAACGCCCACCCCCACCCACCCCCAAACCCCCACCCCCAAACCTCCACCCACCCCCAAACCCCCACCCCCACCCACCCCCAAACCCCCACCCACCCCCACCCACCCCCAAACCCCCACCCACCCCCAAAACGCCCAACCCCCACCCACCCCCCAAAACGCCCACCCCCGCCCACCCTTTTCGCGTCGGCCTCCTCCTACTCTCACTCCGTTCACTCCGTGTCCCCCACCCCCACCCCCGTCTCGTCCGCAGCGCCCACGTGTCCCGCCGGCCAGGAGTTTGTTGACTCGGCCAGCCCCTGCGAGGCCACGTGCCGAGGCGTGGCCGAGCCCGCGTTGTGCCTGGGGCAGGAGCCGGCCTCGGGCTGCCAATGCGCCGCGGGCACTCTGCTCGACGCCTCCTCGCAGTGCGTGGCGCCCGAACTGTGCCCCTGCTACGTGGGCAACCGCGTCGTGATCAACGGGCAGAGCTACACCGTTGACGGGCGCGCGTGGTGAGTGGGTGGGTGGGTGAGTGAGTGGGTGGGTGAGTGGGTGGGTGGGTGGGTGAGTGAGTGGGAGGGCGAGTGTGTGGGAGGGCGAGTGTGTGGGTGGGCGGGTGTGTGGGTGGGCGAGTGGGTGGGTGATCGGGTGAGCGGGTGGGCGGGTGGGCGGGTGAGCGGGTGAGTGAGTGGGAGGGCGAGTGTGTGGGAGGGCGAGTGTGTGGGTGGGCGAGTGGGTGGGTGAGCGGGTGGGCGGGTGAGCGGGTGAGCGGGTGAGCGGGTGGGCGGGTGAGCGGGTGGGCGGGCGAGCGAGTGGGTGGGTGAGCGGGTGGGTGGGTGAGTGGGTGGGTGAGTGTTTGGTTGGGTGGATGAGTGGGTGGGTGAATGAGTGGGTGGGTGGATGAGTGGGTGAGTGGTTGGGTGGGTGAGTGTATGGGTGACTGTCTGGGTGTGTGGCATGCATAACATAGTCAACCACGTTAGGTATTCTGATGATCTGGTAATTGCTGCTCACTCCGAGGCTGACTTTGAGGCGCTGCTGCTGAACCTTACGCTTGCCACTAAGAGGTGGGGGCTTTCCATCAGCCAAAACTAAGCACCTGCCTGGGTGTTTTGTACCATCGGACACTCCACCCCCACAACTCCGAAATGGTGATGGGGCAGTTGTGGAGAGAGTCGAGAGTTTCCCATACCTGGGCAGTGTGCTCATGACCAGCTCCGGTTTGACAGCAGCGGTCTCACTCCGAATCAGTCGAGCGGCATTATCTTTTCATCGGTTGCGTAACGCTGTGTGGAAGCTACCTGGTCTGTCGCTCCGCACGAAGCTTCGGGTCTTCTTGGCCACAGTAATGCCCTCCCTTCCCTATGCTTGTGAAACGTGGACCCCCCCCCCCCCCCCCCTAATGGAACATCTTCGCCGGTTAGGAACATTTAGGCTGACCTGCCTATGATCCATCCTGGGTTTAACCAGGCTGGATTGTGTGAGGAGCTCACAAATCCTTGAAATATCTGGACAAAGTCCCATTGGTGAGCTCCTCTGGCAGGCAAGGCTGCGTTGGCTGGGTCATGTAGCCCGCATGCCCAGACACCCCATGCCTAAACAGCTTTTGTTCGGCCGGATAGAGGAGGCTAAACGGGCGCGGCAGGGTCTAGAGAAGAGATGGAGTGATGTGGTACAGGAGGACGTGGAGTTGAGTGGACTTGCCGATGACTGGTACCAGCGGTGTCAAGATCGGCCTCTGTGGAGGAGGCTCGTGAAGGACGCTACTGGGCAGTTGGAGGCAATCGCCCTCCAACAACAACGGAGGGCGGAGGAGCGACGCTCACAACAACGAGCGGAGCGCCGGGTGGCTAAAGCACAGCATGTTGGCACAGTAGGGGGCACAGGTGGTGCATCGGCCACTCATCTCAGTCATCTCAGTCAGTCGACCCTTGGCAGCTGGGTCTGCCCCGTGACCTCCAGCGGGCGTTCGACATTTCACGTGGCCTCAACGTGCACCTAGCCTGGCACAATCATTGTGGTGACGTCACCACCACTTAGTGGCGAATAGCAGTTGTTGAGTGAGTGTGAATGAGTGTGAGTGAATGAGTGAGTGTAAGTTAGTGTGAGTGAATGAATGAGTGAGAGTGCGAGTGAATGTGAGTTAATTGAGCGTGAGTGAATGAGAGTGTGAGTGAATGTGAGTGAATGAGTGAGTGTGAGTGAGTGAATGAGTGAGTGTGAGTGAACGAGTGAGTGAATGAGTGAGTGCGTGAGTGCCATCACCATCACCATTGACCTCCGTCCCTTCTCCTGTCCTGTCCACAGCCTTTGCAAGGCGGGCAAAATCACCTGCGAATCGTCAGACCAAGGCGTTGGTGAGATTCCGTTCCTCGATCACTGTTTCTCAAACTCGTTAACAAAAAAAATTGTATTCATATAACACGTGGATATGTTTATCTGTGCATCTCTATGAGTCTCTGTGGGGTGCCTGTGGGTTCACTGCGTGGTCCATCGTTTGGGTTGCATGACCACAGTCACGCTCATTAGGCTTGCGTCTTCAATGGGTCTCTGTTGGTTTCTATGAGTCTCTGTGGGTCTCTATGAGTCTCTGTGGGTCTCTATGATTTTCTTTGTGGGCCTCTATGGGTCTCTGTGGGTCTCTATCTCCCCGTTTGTCCAGAACGAGGCATCTCCGCGTCTCTCCCGTTTGTCTACCACCACAACCACCACAACCACCACAACCACCACAACCACCACCACACCACCACCAACCGGACCACCACCCAACCTGTCTCTTGTCCGCAGAGGGCTGCGTCTCGCCCAAGGTCTACGCCAACTGCTCAAAGCTGGCGGACGGAGAACTCGGCGTGGCTTGCCAGCCCAGCTGCCGCAGCGCCGGCATGCCCTGCGTGAGCCCTTCCCCCTCATTCATTCACTCACTCACTCGCTCGCTCGCTCGCTCACTCGCTCACTCGCTCATTCATTCGCTCGGTCGATCAATTGGTTTGTCGACCGTCCGCGCCGTTCAGGATATTTGACCCGTTGCGTCGTTCGGCGATTCGCAACGTTTCGTTCGTTAATTCGTTCGTCCAGTCATCCGTTCATTCGACCATTCACGCGGTTCAAAATTTGACCCAGTGAATAATTGTATAATTAATTCGTTCATTCACGAATTCGTTCGTCCAGTCATTCCTTGATTCAACCATCCGCGCCATTCAGAATTTGACCCAGTGAAGCATTATATAATTCATTCGTTCATTCACGAATTCGTTCGTCCAGTCATTCCTTGATTCAACCATGCGTGCCATTCAGAATTTCACCCGTTGGATCATTCAGTGATTGGCCAATGAATTCGTTCATTGATCTAATAATCAAATAGTTCGCCCATTAGTGCACTCATTCATTCATGAATGTATTTATTCTAACGTTCGTCCGTTCCTCATGGTGACGATGATGATGATGACGACGACATGATGATGATGATGATGATGACAACACATTGATGATGATGACACATTGATGATGATGACAACATACCGATGATGATGATGCTGATGACAGTGACACCAGGTCAATGATGATTGCGATGACAATGATGACGACGATGACAACAAAATTAATGATGATGATGATGACACATTGATGATGATGATGACAGTGACACCGCGTCAATGATGATGATTATGATGAAAATGATGAAAATGATGATGACAATGACGACCTTCCACACACCCTTCCCCCCCTCCACACACACACACCACAGATGAAGAGCTCTTGCAAGTCGGGCTGCACGTGTCCCGCTGGCCTCGTGCTGGACGACGCTGGCGCGTGCGTGGTACAAGACGCGTGCCCCTGCGTGCACAACGGCAACACCTACCGCAAGGGCGACGTGGCCACGGTGGACTGCAACAAGTGGTACGCGTGTCACCACCACCGACACCACCGCCGACACCACACGCACACACACACACAGACAAAGGTCCCCGCGTAGCCTCTTAACAGACCGTAGGGGGCAAGTGCTGTTAGCGAGCAGCACCTATGAAGGCCGGCACGGCACACGAGGGGGGTGGGTGGCCAACACCACGCCCGGCCGCCTTTGTCTCCCTAATAGCGATGTTTACTGCACACCGCACCGGGTACTCATTTGAGGCTGAGTAGACCTAGGGGAGGGCCAGGAGCGGTTCAAATAATCGCCACCGGTGTTGGCCGTGAGCGGGAATCGAACCCGGGTCGCCGGGTTCGCAGCGCAGCGTAGCGCTAACCGCTACACACACACGCACTCACACACTCACGCACTCACACACTCACGCACTCACACACTCACGCACTCACACACTCACGCACTCACACACTCACGCACTCACACACTCACGCACTCACACACTCACGCACTCACACACACACGCACTCACAACACACACACACGCACTCACACACTCACACACACTCACACACACTCACACACACACGCACTCATGCACTCACACTCACACACTCACACACACTCACACACTCACACACACTCACACACGCACGCACTCACGCACTCACACACTCACACACTCACGTACTCACACACTCACACACTCGCGCGCTCACACACACACACGCACTCACACACACTCACACACTCACGCACACACTCACGCACTCACGCACTCACACACACACACTCCACACACTCACGTACTCACACACTCACACACTCGCGCGCTCACACACACACTCACACACTCGCGCGCTCACACGCCCCTGGTCGTGTCGTCCCCCCTTGGCAGCACGTGCAACGGGGGCGTGTGGAGCTGCACGAACGCCACGTGTCCCGGCATGTGCAAGATGTACGGCGACGGCCACTTCATCACCTACGACGGGCGCCGTTTCATCTTCGACGGGAAGTGCGACTACGCTATCACGCAGGTGAGAAACCCCCCCCCCCCCCCCAATAGCCACGGTGGCTAGGAGATGTTGACTATCTCGCCTGGTATACAGGAGGTCGTGGGTTCGATCTCAACCCCTGACGATGCCTGCTGCTGCTGCTGTAGATTTGGATTCTCTGTCTCTCTCATCATCATCATCACGGTGGCTAGGAGATATTGACTATCTCGCCTGGTATACAGGAGGTCGTGGGTTCGATCTCAACCCCTGACGATGCCTGCTGCTGCTGCTGCTGTAGATTTGGATTCTCTGTCTCTCTCATCATCATCATCACGGTGGCTAGGAGATATTGACTATCTCGCCTGGTATACAGGAGGTCGTGGGTTCGATCTCAACCCCTGACGATGCCTGCTGCTGCTGCTGTATATTTGCAGTCTGCATCTCTCTCTCATCATCATCATCATCACCGCGGTGGCTAGGAGATGTTAACTAACCTCGCCCGGTATGCAGGAGGTCGTGGGTTCCATCCCGACCCTAAAGCCATGGTGGCTATGAGATGTTAACTGCCTCGCGTGGTGTACAGGAGTTCGTTGTGGGTTCGATCGTGACCTTGATGCCTGTTATATATTTGGAGTTGGCGTCTTTCTCTCTCTCTCTCTCCCTCCCCATGGCCGCTTGGTTGAGCTGCTTTCGTTTGTGATGTCCAGGGTTCTCGCTCCTGAAAAAGCAAAGCAGTAGCAGCTCAGTAATGGGGCCTTATACCTGGTGACACCAAAACATGTTTAGATCTAGTCTGTGTATCTCTACGGGTCTCTATGGGTCTCTATTCATCTACGGGGATCTGTATGCATCTTTATGCGTTTAGAGTAATTGGCCACGTGATGACGACGATGATGACAAGCCACGTGGTCGAGCTGCTATCACGTGCGATAGGGAGGTCGCTTCTGAAAGAGACCTCCACATTTCGAAGTTGTTGGTGGTGGCGGCTGCTGTGGTGCGGAGCGCCGGGTGGCTGAAGCACAGCAGGTTGGCACAGTATGGGGCACAGGTGGTGCATCAGCCACTCATCTCAGTCAGTCGACCCGTGGCACCTGCTGGGTCTGCCCAGTGACCTCCTGCCAGCGGGCGTTCGACACTTTCACGTGGCTGCCTCAAGGTGCACATGGCCTGGCACAAGCGTCGTGGTGACGTCACCGCCACTCAGTGGCGAATGGCGGTTGTTGTTGTGGTGGTGGTGGTGGGGCCTTTTCCTGCGAACTGCGAAAATTAGTTCGGTTGTCTCTTAGTTTATGGGTCACAATGCACCTCCGTGCGTTCGGAGAATGCGGTTGCTGCCGTAGATGTTCGTGACGCTTCTGATAAAAGAGCGACACAGCTCCAGACGGCGGGGCCCCAGCCGCCCCCCCCCCCCACCCCACCCCCCGGGACAGCCCTGCTAACGGGGAATCCTTTGTCCCGTAGGACTACTGCGGCGGAGCTTCGGGTGCAGGAACCTTCCAGATCATCACCGACAACGAAGACTGCGGCACCACGGGGGTCTCCTGCTCAAAGTCCGTGCGCCTCTTCGTCAAGGTCAGAGGTGTACCCTGCCCCCACACCCCCACCGCCTGGGTTGGATCCCCGGCGTCTGATCCCCTCTCGGTCTCCCCCCGTTCTGGTATTTGACTCTTACTCGCTCACCCCCTACCACCACCCCCCCCCCCCCCCCCGTGTCTCCCCACCCGACCACCCACCTGCGTCTGCCTCCCCCAACATCCACTCCACCCACCCACCTCTTTCTTCCTCCCCACCCACTCACTTACCTGTCTCCCCCCCCCCCCTCCCCACCCACCTTTATCTCCCTCCACACCCACCGGTGTCTCCCTCCCTCCCAACCCACCATCGCATCGGTGTCTCTCCCCACCCACCCACCCACCCGCGTCTCCCTCCCTCCCAACCCACTGCCGCATCGGTGTCTCTCCCCACCCAACTGCTTCTCCCCCCCCCACCCACTCGATCACCCACTCACCTGCGTCTCCCCCCCCCCACCCACTCGATCACCCACTCACCTGCGTCTCCCCCCCCCCCACCCACTCGATCACCCACTCACCTGTGTCTCCCCCCCCCCACCCACTCGATCACCCACTCACCTGCATCTCCCCCCCCACCCACTCGATCACCCACTCACCTGCGTCTCCCCCCCCCCCCACCCCACTCGATCACCCACTCACCTGCGTCTCCCCCCTCCGTGCCCACGTCACAGGCGTACAACGTGGAGGTGCGCATGAAGGACGGCGACGTGCAGGTGCTGCCCGTCGGCGGCGCGGCGTTGCCGGACGTCGGCGCCCTCAGCGTCCACTCGGTGGGGCTCTACCGCATCGTGCAGACGGACATCGGCGTCATGGTCATGTGGGACCGGCACACGAGCATCTTCGTCAAGCTCGACACGGGCTACAAGGTACGCGGGCGGACGGGGCCGGGGCCGGGCGGGGCCGGGGCGGGGCGGGGCGGGGCGGGGCCTCCTTGCAGGGGGGAGGGGGCGTGGCGTGAGCAATGACGAGCAGCACCACGTGACGGTTTTTGTTTTCCGTGTCGTGCGTGGCGCGTTGCGCGCCGCGTGCCAGAGGGCGTGGCTTTCTTTGGTCCGTTGCGTTCGGGTTATTTGTTGCCGCCGGCGACTTTGTGGCGTTTCGTATCACAATCGGCTCCAGTGCTGTCGCTGCTGGAGGCAATGAAAGTGGTTTGAAAGTCAAAAGTCTCTCACTCTCACTCACTCCACTCTCACTCACTCACTCCACTCTCCCTCCCTCAATCTCTCTCTCTCTCACTCCACTCTCGCTCCCGCTCTCATTCGCTCACTCCCTTACTCTCTCCCTCTCTCACTCCCCTCTCGCTCCCTCTCTCACTCCCTTACTCTCTCCCTCTCTCGCTCCCTCATTCTCTCACTCCCGTACTCTCTCCCTCTCTCGCTCCACTCACTCACTCCTCACGCTCTCCCTCACTCACGGCACTCACTCACACTCCACTCTCCCTCTCTCACTCACTCCACTCACATTCCACTCTCTCACTCACTCCACTCACTCACTCACACTCCACTCTCCCGCTCTCACTCCACTCACTCCTCACGCTCTCCCTCGCTCCACTCACTCACACTCCACTCTCCCTTTCTCACTCACTCACTCACACTCCACTCTCCCGCTCTCACTCCACTCACTCCTCACGCTCTCCCTCGCTCCACTCACTCACTCCTCACGCTCTCCCTCGCTCCACTCACTCACACTCCACTCTCCCTCTCTCACTCCACTCACTTCACTCTCACTCTCTCCCTCCCTCACTCCACTCACTTACTCTACTCACGCACACTCCACTCTCCCTCCCGCACTCTCTCTCTCACTCACTCCACCCTCTCACTCCACTCCCCGTGTGTGTGTGCGCGCGTGTGTCCCCTCTCCCCACCACCCACGCACCACCACCACCAAACCCCCACAGGGAAAGTTGTGCGGCCTCTGCGGCAACTTCAACGGCGACGTGAGCGACGACTTCCGCACGGCCGACGGCTCGACCGTGGCGAGCGCCATAACGTTCGGCAACAGCTGGAAGATGAAGGAGAGCTGTGCCGCCGTCGAAACCGAGGCGCAGCCGTGCGAGCGCAACCCCTACCGCCTCGTGTGGGCCCAGCGCAAGTGCAACATCATCAACAGCGACGTCTTCCAGGACTGCCACGACCAGGTGGGCGCTGAGTGGTGGGGTGGTCGTCACCGCCACCACGGCCTGCACCACCTCCACCGTTACCTCTACCACCGCGGCCTTCACCGCTACCACGACCTCCGCGGCGACCTCCACGGCGACCTTCCGCCACCACCACCGTGACCGGCACCGGCACCGCCACCTCCGCCATGACCTCCACCGCCCCCAACCCCTCCAAACCTCACCGACTCTATCACGTCGCTCACCGTGTGTGTCTCGCCTCCTCCACCCACCCACCCGTGTCCTCTCCAGGTGTACCACGTGCCTCCAGGTGTACCACGTAGCTCACCGCGTGTGTCCCACCCCGCCCCCCCCGCCCACACGTCACCCCTGCAGGTGTACCACGTGCCTCCAGGTGTACCACGTGCCTCCAGGAGTACCACGTAGCTCACCGCGTGTGTCCCCCCCCCCCCCCAACCACACGTCACCCCTGCAGGTGTACCACGTGCCTCCAGGTGTACCACGTAGCTCACCGCGTGTGTCCCCCCCCCCCCCCCCCAACCACACGTCACCCCTGCAGGTGTACCACGTGCCTCCAGGTGTACCACGTGCCTCCAGGTGTACCACGTGCCTCCAGGAGTACCACGTAGCTCACCGCGTGTGTCCCACCCCGCCCCCCCCCACCCACACGTCACCCCTGCAGGTGTACCACGTGCCTCCAGGTGTACCACGTGCCTCCAGGTGTACCACGTGCCTCCAGGTGTACCACGTGCCTCCAGGTGTACCACGTAGCTCACCGCGTGTGTCCCACCCCCCCCACCCACACGTGACCCCTGCAGGTGTACCACGTGCCTCCAGGTGTACCACGTGCCTCCAGGTGTACCACGTAGCTCACCGCGTGTGTCCCTCCCCGCCTCCCCCCCCCCCCCACCCCCACGTGACCCCTGCAGGTGTACCACGTGCCTCCAGGTGTACCACGTGCCTCCAGGAGTACCACGTAGCTCACCGCGTGTGTCCCACCCCGCCTCCCCCCACCCCCACCCACACATGACCCCTGCAGGTGTACCACGTGCCTCCAGGTGTACCACGTGCCTCCAGGTGTACCACGTGCCTCCAGGAGTACCACGTAGCTCACCGCGTGTGTCCCACCCTGCCCCCCCCACCCACACGTGACCCCTGCAGGTGTACCACGTGCCTCCAGGTGTACCACGTGCCTCCAGGTGTACCACGTGCCTCCAGGTGTACCACGTAGCTCACCGCGTGTGTCCCACCCCCCCACCCACACGTGACCCCTGCAGGTGTACCACGTGCCTCCAGGTGTACCACGTGCCTCCAGGAGTACCCCGTAGCTCACCGCGTGTTACCCACCGCCCCCCCACCCCCACCCACACGTGACCCCTGCAGGTGTACCACGTGCCTCCAGGTGTACCACGTGCCTCCAGGAGTACCACGTTGCTCACCGCGTGTGTCCCACCCCCCCACCCACACGTCACCCCTGCAGGTGTACCACGTGCCTCCAGGTGTACCCCGTAGCTCACCGCGTGTGTCCCACCCCGCCCCCCACCCACACGTGACCCCTGCAGGTGTACCACGTGCCTCCAGGTGTACCACGTGCCTCCAGGTGTACCACGTGCCTCCAGGAGTACCACGTAGCTCACCGCGTGTGTCCCACCCCGCCTCCCCCCACCCCCACCCACACGTCACCCCTGCAGTTGTACCACGTGCCTCCAGGTGTACCACGTGCCTCCAGGTGTACCACGTGCCTCCAGGTGTACCACGTTGCTCACCGCGTGTGTCCCACCCCCCCACCCACACGTCACCCCTGCAGGTGTACCACGTGCCTCCAGGTGTACCACGTAGCTCACCGCGTGTGTCCCACCCCCCCACCCACACGTGACCCCTGCAGGTGTACCACGTGCCTCCAGGTGTACCACGTAGCTCACCGCGTGTGTCCCACCCCACCCTCCCCCCCACCCGACCCCTGCAGGTGTACCACGTGCCTCCAGGTGTACCACGTGCCTCCAGGTGTACCACGTGCCTCCAGGAGTACCACGTAGCTCACCGCGTGTGTCACCACCCCGCCCCCCCCCCCCACCCCCACCCCCACCCCCCACCCACACGTGACCCCTGCAGGTGTACCACGTGCCGTACTTCGACGCGTGCGTGCGCGACTCGTGCGCGTGCGACACGGGCGGCGACTGCGAGTGCTTCTGCACGGCAGTGGCCGCGTACGCCCAGGCCTGCAACGAGGCCGGCGTGTGCGTCAAGTGGAGGACCCCCGAGCGATGCCGTGAGTGGTTCGCGGCGTGGGGGCGGGGAGGTGTGGGTGGGGAGTGTGTGTACGTGTGCACGTGTGTGTGTGTGTGTGCGTGTGTGTTTAGTGGCCTCAGGGTGCACATGGCCTGGCACAAGCGTCGTGGTGACGTCACCGCCACTTAGTGGCGAATGGCGGTTGTTGTTGTTGTTGTTGTTTAGTGGTAATTTATTGAAGGTGGAGGGGTTACCAGCCCCCTCGCACCCGTCTAGAGCCCTCGTTTAGCCGCTGTGGCTGCTACAAACGCCCTGAGGTGAAAAGGCCACTCGGAATTGGCACCTCCCCCCCCCGCGGCGCCGTCCACGACAGCGTTGCCCATCCGGCACCACGAGGAGGGAGGGGGTTGTTTTTTGCCGGACCCCCCCCCCCTAATGGAGCATCTTCGCACATTGGAAACATTTAGGCCGGCCTGCCTACGATCCATCCTGGGTTTAACCAGACTGGATTGTGTGAGGAGCTCACAAATCCTAGAAAGATCTGGGCATAGTCCCATCGGTGAGCTCCTCCCGGCAGGCAAGGCTGCGATGGCTGGGTCATGTAGCCCGCATGCCCAGTCACCGCATGCCTAAACAGCTTTTGTTCGGCCGGATAGAGCTGAGTAGACTTGCCGATGACCGGTACCAGCGGTGTCAAGATCGGCCTCTGTGGAAGATGCTCATGAAGGACGCTGCTACTGGGCAGTTGGGAGGCAGTCGCCCTCCAACAACAACGGAGGGCGGAGGAGCGACGCTCACAACAACGAGCGGAGCGCCGGGTGGCTAAAGCACAGCGGGTTGGTACAGTAGGGGGCACAGGTGGTGCATCAGCCAGTAGTCATCTCAGCCCGTCGACCCGTGGCACCTGCTGGGTCCGCCCCGTGACCTCCTGCCAGCGGGGCGTTCGACACTTCACGTGGTAGCCTCAGGGTGCACGTGGCCTGGCACAAGCGTCGTGGTGAAGTCACCGCGACTTTAGTGGCGAATGGCGGTTGCTGTTGTTTGTTGTTGCATGCGTCGCCGTGTCCACCCGCCATCAGCCGTGTTCTGCGACTACTACAACAAGGACGACAGTGACTGCACGTGGCACTACAGCGCCTGCGGCTCCCTGCCACTCACCTGCCGCAAACAGCAGCAGCCCGGCGGTTTCGCGCTGCCCCGCATGGAAGGTGAACAGCTCCCCCCCCCCCACTAACCCCACCCCAATCCCCCACTCCCACCCCACTCCCACCCCCCAACCCCCCACGTACGGTACGAACGAAGTCCGACTTGCACACGCACCACCATCACCATACATAGCAGGCGACCCGTGCCCTAACCAGCCTACGCAACCCCAAGTCTTAACCGAACCCCCCGCCCGCCGCCCCTAACCCACGTTGCGCGCAGGCTGCTACCCACGTTGCCCCTCGGCCACACCTTACCTGGACGAGAACAGCATGCGGTGCGTGACTCTCTCGGCATGCAGCTGCTACCTGGGCGACGAGGACGTGCCGGCCGGCGGCCAGATCGTCATCTCCGAATCGTGCCAAGTGTGGTGAGTTCCGTCAAAAGGGTGGGCGGTGGTGGGAAGCAGGGACGTGCGGTCACCGGGAAGCAAGGGGAGGCTGGAGCCTCGCCTGTCATACTCCAATGAAAATTAATAGCAAGATTTGTTTTTTTTCTTCCACTGATCTGTGTTATAAATGTCATTTCCTGTACGGTTCCAGTTAATTTTTTAAGTCTAAATCGCCAAATTTCCGGAGCTCCGCTGCAAATGCTGCAGGAAGAGACGAGAGGTGAGGCAGCGACGAGCTCAGCCTCCCCTCTGATTGCGCAACCCCTCAGTAACTGGGTGGAGTTCGGGCATTAAGCGCGTTCCTGTTACTATCTCTCTGTATGTCACCACTACTACACGCGACACTACTATACACTATACACCACACACTACACTACTATACGCTACACTACACACTACACTACTACAGTGAGGGAAAACAAGTATTTGATCCCTTGCTGATTTTGTACGTTTGCCCACTGACAAAGAAATGATCAGTCTGTCATTTTAATGGTAGGTTTAATTGAACAGTGAGAGACAGAATAACAACAAAAAATCCGGAAAAACGCATGTCAAAAATGTTATAAATTGATTTGCATTTCAATGAGGGAAATAAGTATTTGACCCCCTCTCAATCAGAAAGATTTCTGGCTCCCAGGTGTCTTTTATACAGGTAACGAGCTGAGATTAGGAGCACACTCTTAAAGGGAGTGCTCCTAATCTCAGCTTGTTACCTGTATAAAAGACACCTGTCCACAGAAGCAATCAATCAGATTCCAAACTCTCCACCATGGCCAAGACCAAAGAGCTCTCCAAGGATGTCAGGGACAAGATTGTAGACCTACACAAGGCTGGAATGGGCTACAAGACCATTGCCAAGCAGCTTGGTGAGAAGGTGACAACAGTTGGTGCGATTATTCGCAAATGGAAGAAACACAAAAGAACTGTCAATTTCCCTCGGCCTGGGGCTCCATGCAAGATCTGACCTCGTGGAGTTGCAATGATCATGAGAACGGTGAGGAATCATCCCAGAACTATACGGGAGGATCTTGTCAATGATCTCAAGGCAGCTGGGACCATAGTCACCAAGAAAATAATTGGTAACACACTACGCCGTGAAGGACTGAAATCCTGCAGCGCCCGCAAGGTCCCCCTGCTCAAGAAAGCACATATACATGCCCGTCTGAAGTTTGCCAATGAACATCTGAATGATTCAGAGGACAACTGGGTGAAAGTGTTGTGGTCATATGAGACCAAAATAGAGCTCTTTGGCATCAACTCAACTCGCCGTGTTTGGAGGAGGAGGAATGCTGCCTATGACCCCAAGAACACCATCCCCACCGTAAAACATGGAGGTGGAAACATTATGCTTTGGGGGTGTTTTTCTGCTAAGGGGACAAGACAACGTCACCGCATCAAAGGGACGATGGACGGGGCCATGTACCGTCAAATCTTGGGTGAGAACCTCCTTCCCTCAGCTAGGGCATTGAAAATGGGTCGTGGATGGGTATTCCAGCATGACAATGACCCAAAACCCACGGCCAAGGCAACAAAGAAGTGGCTCAAGAAGAAGCACATTAAGGTCCTGGAGTGGCCTAGCCAGTCTCCAGACCTTAATCCCATAGACAATCTGTGGAGGGAGCTGAAGGTTTGAGTTGCCAAACGTCAGCCTCGAAACCTTAATGACTTGGTGAAAATCTGCAAAGAGGAGTGGGACAAAATCCCTCCTGAGATGTGTGCAAACCTGGTGGCCAACTACAAGAAACGTCTGACCTCTGTGATTCCCAACAAGGGTTTTGCCACCAAGTACTAAGTCATGTTTTGCAGAGGGGGTCAAATACTTATTTCCCTCATTAAAATGCAAATCAATTTATAACATTTTTGACATGCGTTTTTCAGGATTTTGTTGTTGTTATTCTGTCTCTCACTGTTCAAACAAACCTACCATTAAAATTATAGACTGATCATTTCTTTGTCAGTGGGCAAACGTACAAAATCAGCAGGGGATTAAATCCTTTTTTCCCTCACTGTATATACTACACTATACACTGCTACACTATACACTGCTACACTATACACTACGCTACTATACACTATACTACTATACATACTACGCTACTGCACACTACACTATACACCACACTACTACGGTAACACACCGCACCACTGGTTGTACATTGGGAACTCGTCTCTTCAGAACAGCTTCTTTTCGTTTTTAGTTTGCCCTCAGATTGGGAGGACGGGCGCACAAGCGCCGCGCGGGTACACACGCCGACAGGGGGAAGCAAAACCCGCGCACTCTGTCGACGTCCGTCGGGAAGTCTTCCGTGTTGGTTGACCTTCGTCCTTTGTGTCCGCCCCCCCCCCCCCCCCCCGTTTCCGCTGTCTGTTGCAGCAAGTGCAAGGATGGGCAGCTGACATGCACGGAAGCAGGTGAGGCTGAGTCGCCGCAGCGTCGCCCGCACCCGCAGGGGCTGGCCCGCCACGCGTGTGTGTGTGCATGCGAGCGTGTGTGTGTGTGCATGCGAGCGTGTGTGTGTGCATGCGAGCGAGCGTGTGTGTGTGCATGCGAGCGAGCGTGTGTGTGTGCGTGCGAGCGAGCGTGTGTGTGTGTGTGCATGCGAGCGTGTGTGTGTGTGCGTGCGAGCGAGCGTGTGTGTGTGTGTGTGCATGCGAGCGTGTGTGTGTGTGTGCATGCGAGCGAGCGTGTGTGCGTGCGTGTGTGCGTGCGACCATGTGTGTGTGAGCATGCGAGCGTGTGCATGTGTGTGTGTGCGTGTGACCATGTGTGTGTGTGTGTGCGCGAGCATGTGTGTGTGTGTGTGCGTGTGACCATGTGTGTGTGTGTGTGCGCGAGCATGTGTGTGTGTGTGCGCGGTAGCGGTTAGCGCTACGCCGCGCTACAGACCCGGTGGGCCCGAGTTCGATTCCCGCTCACGTCCACCGACACCGGTGACGATTTTCATCTGAACCGGGCCTGGGCCTCCTCTAGGTCAACTCAGCCTCAATTGAGTTAGCTGATGCGGTGTGTCGTGAACATTGCCACTGGGTGGGGGAGAGGCAAAGGCGACCGGGTGTGATGCTGGCCACCCACCCCCTGGTGTGCCAAAGTACCGGTAGCCTTCATAGGTTTCTGCTACTCGCTTTAGAAAGCCCTTGCCCCTACGGTCTGCCAAAAGTGGGGGGGGGGTTCTGTGTCTCTCTGTTGATCTCAGTGAGTCAACCTATGGCCACCACGGGTCTGTCCCGCGACCTGGTTGCCAGCGCGCGTCCGACGCGTCGGGCGTGGCCTCAGAGTGCACGGCGGCCTCTGCACAGGGGCGGCTTGTCGATCCTCATGCCCGCCCCTCCTTGTGAAATCCCGCAGAGGGCTGCTGCGTGGGAGGCAAGGTGTACGCGGCGGGCGGAGTGATCTCGAAGGAAACGGACGCCGTGGGGCTGTGCACCTTCACCAAGACGTGCATGGCGTCGGGCGCGGTGAAGGACTCCACCGAGTGCAAGGCCATCACCTCGGCCGCGCCCACCACCACCGCGGGGACGACAAAGATGCTGCCGCCACTGCCGATGACGACGGAGAAGGTCGCCGTGGTGACCACGGAGGGCCCGACCACGGCAACAACACTGCCGACGTCGACCGCGCAGAAGCTCACGGAGGCGCCGTTGGAGAAGATAACGCAGGTGCCGGTGGAGCAGACGAGGCCGGTAGCAACCACGAGCACGCCCGCACCGGTCACGACCAAACCCAGGCCGGTGGCGACCACGCCCAGAGCGGTCGAGAGCACGCCGGGTCCAGTCGGTTCCACGCCGGGACCGATCAAAACCACGCCGGGACCAGTCACAACTACTACCGGGCCAGTCGGATCCACGCCCGCATCAGTCGGATCCACACCGGGACCAGTGAAAACCACACCTGGACCAGCTGGTTCTACACCCGGGCCAGTCGGCTCCACACCAGGACCAGTTGGTTCAACACCCGGACCAGTCAGTTCCACATCTGGACCAGCAGGATCCACACCAGGACCAGTCGGTTCTACACCTGTAGCAGTCGGATCCACACCCGGACCAGTCACAACCACGCCTGGACCAGTCGGATCCACACCGGGACCAGTCGGGTCCACACCGGGACCAGTCACAACCACGCCTGGACCAGTCGGATCCACACCCGGACCAGTCGGGTCCACACCGGGACCAGTCGGATCGACATCCGGGCCAGTCACAACCACGCCTGGACCAGTCGGATCCACACCAGGGCCAGCAACAACGACACCCGGACCAATTGGATCCACGCCCTCATCAGTCGGATCCACACCTGGACCAGCCGGTTCTACACCCGGACCAGTCGGCACCACACCAGGACCAGTTGGTTCTACACCCGGACCAGTCAGTTCTACACCTGGACCAGCAGGTTCCACACCAGGAGCAGTCGGTTCCACACCTGTACCAGTCGGTTTCACAACCGCATCAGTCGGATCCACGCCAGGGCCAGTCACAACCACGCCTGGACCAATCGGATCCACACCGGGACCAGTCGGTTCCACCCCCACATCAGTCGGATCTACACCCGGACCAGTAGTGACCACACCCGCACCGGTCGGTTCCACGCCCGCTTCAGTCGGTTCCACACCCGGACCAGTTAGTTCGACGCCTGCAGCAGTCACAACCACGGCCGCAGCGGTCCCCTGCATGGGAACTTGGTCTGATTGGTACAACGTGGACTACCCGCAAACGAGCCAGCAAAACGGAGACTACGAAACGTTCGACAACATCAGGCAAAATGGCCAGGCCATCTGCCCGATGGGCAACCAAGTGGAGGCCATCGAGTGCAAGGCAATGCGCTTCCCCAACGTGGCGTGGCAAGAACTGGGACAGAAGATCAGGTGTGATGCGCAAGTGGGGCTCATCTGCGACAATGCGGAGCAATCCACGTCCATGTGCTTCGACTACAAGATCCGAGTGTGCTGCGGCCAGGTGATCGCAACAACAACACTTGCACCGGCGGTGACCACCAAGGCATCCGTGGCAACTACAGCTGGACCAGTCGGATCCACGCTCGGACCAGTCGTATCTACACCCGGACCAGTCACAACCACGCCTGGACCAGTCGGATCCACACCGGGACCAGTCGGGTCCACACCGGGACCAGTCACAACCACACCTGGACCAGTCGGATCCACGCCCGGACCAGTCGGATCCACACCCGGACCAGTCGGGTCCACACCGGGACCAGTCGGATCGACATCCGGGCCAGTCACAACCACGCCTGGACCAGTCGGATCCACACCAGGGCCAGCAACAACGACACCCGGACCAATTGGATCCACGCCCTCATCAGTCGGATCCACACCTGGACCAGCCGGTTCTACACCCGGACCAGTCGGCACCACACCAGGACCAGTTGGTTCTACACCCGGACCAGTCAGTTCTACACCTGGACCAGCAGGTTCCACACCAGGAGCAGTCGGTTCCACACCTGTACCAGTCGGTTTGACAACCGCATCAGTCGGATCCACACCAGGGCCAGTCACAACCACGCCTGGACCAATCGGATCCACACCGGGACCAGTCGGTTCCACCCCCACATCAGTCGAATCTACACCCGGACCAGTAGTGACCACACCCGCACCGGTCGGTTCCACGCCCGCTTCAGTCGGTTCCACACCCGGACCAGTTAGTTCCACGCCTGCAGCAGTCACAACCACGGCCGCAGCTGTCCCCTGCATGGGAACTTGGTCTGATTGGTACAACGTGGACTACCCGCAAACGAGCCAGCAAAACGGAGACTACGAAACGTTCGACAACATCAGGCAAAATGGCCAGGCCATCTGCCCGATGGGCGACCAAGTGGAGGCCATCGAGTGCAAGGCAATGAACTTCCCCAACGTGGCGTGGCAAGAACTGGGACAGAAGATCAGGTGTGATGCGCAAGTGGGGCTCATCTGCGACAACGCGGAGCAATCCACGTCCATGTGCTTCGACTACAAGATCCGAGTGTGCTGCGGCCAGGTGATCGCAACAACAACACTTGCACCGGCGGTGACCACCAAGGCATCCGTGGCAACTACAGCTGGACCAGTCGGATCCACACCGGGACCAGTCGGGTCCACACCGGGACCAGTCACAACCACGCCTGGACCAGTCGGATCCACGCCCGGACCAGTCGGATCCACACCCGGACCAGTCGGTTCCACACCGGGACCAGTCGGATCGACATCCGGGCCAGTCACAACCACACCTGGACCAGTCGGATCCACACCAGGGCCAGTAACAACGACACCCGGACCAATTGGATCCACGCCCTCATCAGTCGGATCCACACCTGGACCAGCCGGTTCTACACCCGGACCAGTTGGCTCCACACCAGGACCAGTTGGTTCTACACCCGGACCAGTCAGTTCTACACCTGGACCAGCAGGTTCCACACCAGGAGCAGTCGGTTCCACACCTGTACCAGTCGGTTTCACAACCGCATCAGTCGGATCCACACCAGGGCCAGTCACAACCACGCCTGGACCAGTCGGATCCACACCAGGGCCAGTCACAACCACGCCTGGACCAATCGGATCCACACCGGGACCAGTAAGTTCCACACCCGCATCAGTCGGTTCCACACCCGGACCAGTTAGTTCGACGCCTGCAGCAGTCACAACCACGGCCGCAGCGGTCCGCTGCATGGGAACTTGGTCTGATTGGTACAACGTGGACTCCCCTCAAACGAGCCAGCAAAACGGAGACTACGAAACGTTCGACAACATCAGGCAAAATGGCCAGGCCATCTGCCCGATGGGCAACCAAGTGGAGGCCATCGAGTGCAAGGCAATGCGCTTCCCCAACGTGGCGTGGCAAGAACTGGGACAGAAGATCAGGTGTGATGCGCAAGTGGGGCTCATCTGCGACAATGCGGAGCAATCCACGTCCATGTGCTTCGACTACAAGATCCGAGTGTGCTGCGGCCAGGTGATCGCAACAACAACACTTGCACCGGCGGTGACCACCAAGGCATCCGTGGCAACTACAGCTGGACCAGTCGGATCCACGCCCGGACCAGTCGTATCCACACCCGGACCAGTCACAACCACGCCTGGACCAGTCGGATCCACACCGGGACCAGTCGTATCCACACCCGGACCAGTCACAACCACGCCTGGACCAGTCGGATCCACACCGGGACCAGTCGGGTCCACACCGGGACCAGTCACAACCACGCCTGGACCAGTCGGATCCACACCCGGACCAGTCGGGTCCACACCGGGACCAGTCGGATCGACATCCGGGCCAGTCACAACCACGCCTGGACCAGTCGGATCCACACCAGGGCCAGTAACAACAACACCCGGACCAATTGGATCCACGCCCTCATCAGTTGGATCCACACCGGGACCAGTCGAAACTACACCCGGACCAGTCAGAACCACGCCTGGACCAGTCGGATCCACACCGGGACCAGTCGGGTCCACACCGGGACCAGTCACAACCACGCCTGGACCAGTCGGATCCACGCCCGGACCAGTCGGATCCACACCCGGACCAGTCGGGTCCACAACGGGACCAGTCGGATCGACATCCGGGCCAGTCACAACCACGCCTGGACCACTCGGATCCACACCAGGGCCAGCAACAACGACACCCGGACCAATTGGATCCACGCCCTCATCAGTAGGATCCACACCTGGACCAGCCGGTTCTACACCCGGACCAGTCGGCACCACACCAGGACCAGTTGGTTCTACACCCGGTCCAGTCAGTTCTACACCTGGACCAGCAGGTTCCACACCAGCACCAGTCGGTTCCACACCTGTACCAGTCGGTTTCACAACCGCATCAGTCGTATCCACACCCGGACCAGTCACAACCACGCCTGGACCAGTCGGATCCACACCGGGACCAGTCGGGTCCACACCGGGACCAGTCACAACCACGCCTGGACCAGTCGGATCCACGCCCGGACCAGTCGGATCCACACCCGGACCAGTCGGTTCCACACCGGGACCAGTCGGATCGACATCCGGGCCAGTCACAACCACACCTGGACCAGTCGGATCCACACCAGGGCCAGTAACAACGACACCCGGACCAATTGGATCCACGCCCTCATCAGTCGGATCCACACCTGGACCAGCCGGTTCTACACCCGGACCAGTTGGCTCCACACCAGGACCAGTTGGTTCTACACCCGGACCAGTCAGTTCTACACCTGGACCAGCAGGTTCCACACCAGGAGCAGTCGGTTCCACACCTGTACCAGTCGGTTTCACAACCGCATCAGTCGGATCCACACCAGGGCCAGTCACAACCACGCCTGGACCAGTCGGATCCACACCAGGGCCAGTCACAACCACGCCTGGACCAATCGGATCCACACTGGGACCAGTAAGTTCCACACCCGCATCAGTCGGTTCCACACCCGGACCAGTTATTTCGACGCCTGCAGCAGTCACAACCACGGCCGCAGCGGTCCGCTGCATGGGAACTTGGTCTGATTGGTACAACGTGGACTCCCCTCAAACGAGCCAGCAAAACGGAGACTACGAAACGTTCGACAACATCAGGCAAAATGGCCAGGCCATCTGCCCGATGGGCAACCAAGTGGAGGCCATCGAGTGCAAGGCAATGCGCTTCCCCAACGTGGCGTGGCAAGAACTGGGACAGAAGATCAGGTGTGATGCGCAAGTGGGGCTCATCTGCGACAATGCGGAGCAATCCACGTCCATGTGCTTCGACTACAAGATCCGAGTGTGCTGCGGCCAGGTGATCGCAACAACAACACTTGCACCGGCGGTGACCACCAAGGCATCCGTGGCAACTACAGCTGGACCAGTCGGATCCACGCCCGGACCAGTCGTATCCACACCCGGACCAGTCACAACCACGCCTGGACCAGTCGGATCCACACCGGGACCAGTCGTATCCACACCCGGACCAGTCACAACCACGCCTGGACCAGTCGGATCCACACCGGGACCAGTCGGGTCCACACCGGGACCAGTCACAACCACGCCTGGACCAGTCGGATCCACACCGGGACCAGTCGGATCGACATCCGGGCCAGTCACAACCACGCCTGGACCAGTCGGATCCACACCAGGGCCAGCAACAACGACACCCGGACCAATTGGATCCACGCCCTCATCAGTCGGATCCACACCTGGACCAGCCGGTTCTACACCCGGACCAGTCGGCACCACACCAGGACCAGTTGGTTCTACACCCGGACCAGTCAGTTCTACACCTGGACCAGCAGGTTCCACACCAGGAGCAGTCGGTTCCACACCTGTACCAGTCGGTTTCACAACCGCATCAGTCGGATCCACACCAGGGCCAGTCACAACCACGCCTGGACCAATCGGATCCACACCGGGACCAGTCGGGTCCACACCGGGACCAGTCGGATCCACACCAGGGCCAGTCACAACCACGCCTGGACCAATCGGATCCACACCGGGACCAGTCGGTTCCACCCCCACATCAGTCGGATCTACACCCGGCCCAGTAGTGACCACACCCGCACCGGTCGGTTCCACGCCCGCTTCAGTCGGTTCCACACCTGGACCAGTTAGTTCCACGCCTGCAGCAGTCACAACCACGGCCGCAGCGGTCCCCTGCATGGGAACTTGGTCTGATTGGTACAACGTGGACTACCCGCAAACGAGCCAGCAAAACGGAGACTACGAAACGTTCGACAACATCAGGCAAAATGGCCAGGCCATCTGCCCGATGGGCGACCAAGTGGAGGCCATCGAGTGCAAGGCAATGCGCTTCCCCAACGTGGCGTGGCAAGAACTGGGACAGAAGATCAGGTGTGATGCGCAAGTGGGGCTCATCTGCGACAATGCGGAGCAATCCACGTCCATGTGCTTCGACTACAAGATCCGAGTGTGCTGCGGCCAGGTGATCGCAACAACAACACTTGCACCGGCGGTGACCACCAAGGCATCCGTGGCAACTACAGCTGGACCAGTCGGATCCACGCCCGGACCAGTCGTATCCACACCCGGACCAGTCGGATCCACACCGGGACCAGTCGGGTCCACACCGGGACCAGTCACAACCACGCCTGGACCAGTCGGATCCACACCCGGACCAGTCGGGTCCACACCGGGACCAGTCGGATCGACATCCGGGCCAGTCACAACCACGCCTGGACCAGTCGGATCCACACCAGGGCCAGCAACAACGACACCCGGACCAATTGGATCCACGCCCTCATCAGTCGGATCCACACCTGGACCAGCCGGTTCTACACCCGGACCAGTCGGCACCACACCAGGACCAGTTGGTTCTACACCCGGACCAGTCAGTTCTACACCTGGACCAGCAGGTTCCACACCAGGAGCAGTCGGTTCCACACCTGTACCAGTCGGTTTCACAACCGCATCAGTCGGATCCACACCAGGGCCAGTCACAACCACGCCTGGACCAATCGGATCCACACCGGGACAAGTCGGGTCCACACCGGGACCAGTCGGATCCACACCAGGGCCAGTCACAACCACGCCTGGACCAATCGGATCCACACCGGGACCAGTCGGTTCCACCCCCACATCAGTCGGATCTACACCCGGACCAGTAGTGACCACACCCGCACCGGTCGGTTCCACGCCCGCTTCAGTCGGTTCCACACCCGGACCAGTTAGTTCCACGCCTGCAGCAGTCACAACCACGGCCGCAGCGGTCCCCTGCATGGGAACTTGGTCTGATTGGTACAACGTGGACTACCCGCAAACGAGCCAGCAAAACGGAGACTACGAAACGTTCGACAACATCAGGCAAAATGGCCAGGCCATCTGCCCGATGGGCGACCAAGTGGAGGCCATCGAGTGCAAGGCAATGAACTTCCCCAACGTGGCGTGGCAAGAACTGGGACAGAAGATCAGGTGTGATGCGCAAGTGGGGCTCATCTGCGACAACGCGGAGCAATCCATGTCCATGTGCTTCGACTACAAGATCCGGGTGTGCTGCGGCCAGGTGATCGCAACAACAACACTTGCACCGGCGGTGACCACCAAGGCATCCGTGGCAACTACAGCTGGGCCAGTCGGATCCACACCAGGACCAGTCGGATCCACACCCGGACCAGTCAGAACCACGCCCGGACCAGTCGGTTCCACGCCGGGACCAGTTGTATCCACACCCCGGCCAGTCACAACCACGCCTGGACCAGTCGGATCCACACCAGGGCCAGTAACAACAACACCCGGACCAATTGGATCCACGCCCTCATCAGTTGGATCCACACCGGGACCAGTCGAAACTACACCCGGACCAGTCGGATCCACTCCCGGACCTGTCGGATCCACACCAGCATCAGTCGAAACCACACCGGGTAGAGTCACAACCATGTCTGGACCAGTCGTATCCACACCAGGACCAGTAACAACTACGCCTGGACCAATCGGATCCACAGCAGCATCAGTCGAAACCACACCGGGACCAGTCACAACCACGCCTGGACCAGTCGGATCCACGCCCGGACCAGTCAGATCCACACCCGGACCAGTCGGATCGACATCCGGGCCAGTCACAACCACGCCTGGACCAGTCGGATCCACACCAGGGCCAGCAACAACGACACCCGGACCAATTGGATCCACGCCCTCATCAGTCGGATCCACACCTGGACCAGCCGGTTCTACACCCGGACCAGTCGGCACCACACCAGGACCAGTTGGTTCTACACCCGGACCAGTCAGTTCTACACCTGGACCAGCAGGTTCCACACCAGGAGCAGTCGGTTCCACACCTGTACCAGTCGGTTTTACAACCGCATCAGTCGGATCCACACCAGGGCCAGTCACAACCACGCCTGGACCAATCGGATCCACACCGGGACCAGTCGGTTCCACCCCCACATCAGTCGGATCTACACCCGGACCAGTAGTGACCACACCCGCACCGGTCGGTTCCACGCCCGCTTCAGTCGGTTCCACACCCGGACCAGTTAGTTCGACGCCTGCAGCAGTCACAACCACGGCCGCAGCGGTCCCCTGCATGGGAACTTGGTCTGATTGGTACAACGTGGACTACCCGCAAACGAGCCAGCAAAACGGAGACTACGAAACGTTCGACAACATCAGGCAAAATGGCCAGGCCATCTGCCCGATGGGCGACCAAGTGGAGGCCATCGAGTGCAAGGCAATGAACTTCCCCAACGTGGCGTGGCAAGAACTGGGACAGAAGATCAGGTGTGATGCGCAAGTGGGGCTCATCTGCGACAACGCGGAGCAATCCATGTCCATGTGCTTCGACTACAAGATCCGAGTGTGCTGCGGCCAGGTGATCGCAACAACAACACTTGCACCGGCGGTGACCACCAAGGCATCCGTGGCAACTACAGCTGGACCAGTCGGATCCACACCAGGACCAGTCGGATCCACACCCGGACCAGTCAGAACCACGCCCGGACCAGTCGGTTCCACGCCGGGACCAGTCGGATCCACGCCCGGACCAGTTGTATCCACACCCCGGCCAGTCACATCCACGCCTGGACCAGTCGGATCCACACCAGGGCCAGTAACAACAACACCCGGACCAATTGGATCCACGCCCTCATCAGTTGGATCCACACCGGGACCAGTCGAAACTACACCCGGACCAGTCGGATCCACTCCCGGACCTGTCGGATCCACACCAGCATCAGTCGAAACCACACCGGGTAGAGTCACAACCATGTCTGGACCAGTCGTATCCACACCAGGACCAGTAACAACTACGCCTGGACCAATCGGATCCACAGCAGCATCAGTCGAAACCACACCGGGACCAGTCACAACCACGCCCGGACCAGTCGGATCCACACCAACATCAGTCGGATCTACACCGGGACCAGTCGTAACCACACCTGGACCAGTCGGCTCCACGCCTGCATCAGTCGGATCCACACTGGGACCACTCGTAACCACACTCGGGCCAGTCGGTTCCACACCCAGACCCGTTGGATCCACTCCCATCATCAATCAAGCTACTACAACTCCATTGGGTAAGTGGAACAATACATCTTTTCCATTTCCTTTCCTTAACAAAGATTTTCATCGATTGGCTCGGCTCTAATCATTATCAAGCCTTGCTAAATCCCCTGCTGAATGAAGTCTTCCTAAGCATCTGCCTCAACCATTCCTGTATTCCCACCCCGCTCATGTACACTGTTTTTCATTCATCCATTCATTATATGAGAATAGTTTTTCCCCTTTCTGGTCATAATAAAACAGTTGTGTTAAGATGTTAAACCACCAAACAGAAACTTTTTGCAAGGAATAATGTCTGCATTAACCACACACATACTTTGCATGGTCACCACAAGTACCGTTTGTTCAATGCAGACATAATTCTTTGCAAAAGGTTTCTCTTTGGTGTTTAAATATCTTAACACAACTCTCTTTTGCCATAAAGGGTAAAAGCTATTCTTATTTTTTTTTTAAACTGGCAAGGGTTGTCCCATGACATCCATTCATTGTAAAGTGGAAGGAGGAACTGCGGGCATGCCCATTTTTTGCCGGAGGGGAAGCCCTGAGGTCCTGCCCAAACCCCGAAGCCAATGCAATGCGAGCCCAATGGGAGCCAAGGCCATACTAAAGGTGGGACCATGACGGAATGGCCGATCTTGCCGATGTCAGCCAATCAAACAACGGCAGGGGGAGGGGCACATGTAGCATCATTACTGAATCCATGGATCGATTTTTGGCAATGAATCGACACGGAGGGATTAATCCAGTTTAATTGATGCTTGTTTTTTTACGTAACGGGTGAAGCGGAATCGACCACAATGAATCTTGGTTAGCGATCTATTACAATGCCGCAATGGCTAGGAGATTTTTATTATCTTACCTGGAACACAGGAGGTCGTGGGTTTGATCCCGACCCTGACAGTGCCTGCTGTATATTTGGAGTTTGCATGTCTCTAACCGTGGTCGCGTGAATTTTTCTCTGGGTCCTCCACGGGTTTTTCCCCTCCACATTTAGAATCTATGTCCCGACGCGTTCAGAGTATTTGACTGCTGCTATAAATTTCCACGTGGAGATGATGATGATGATAATGATAAGCCACTACATGGCTCAGTCGCGAGCCTTCCCTGGCCAAATAAAATACAAAAAAATCGTAGTTTTAGTGTAACCCCAAGCGACTACGAGCCAGCCAGCCCACAAGCACTTTCATGTTGTCACCATGAGGTAGTCGGTCACTCTGTCATAATGCATGTGACTAAACATCTAACCGACAAATCGACTAACCAACTAACCGACTAACTGACAAACCAACAAACCAACCAACCAACCAACAAACCGACTAACTGACAAACCGACAAACCGGCTAACCATCTAATGGACAAACAGGCTAACTGACTCACCGACAAACCGGCTAACTGATAAACTGACGAACCGACTAACCGACTAACCGACAAACCGACTAACCAAAAAACCGACGAACTGACAGACTGGCTCACCGACTAATGGATAAACCAAACAAACTGACTCACCGACAAACCGGCTAACTGACTCACCGACAAACCAACTAACTGCCCACCCGTCCATCCGCAGTGTGCCCGGGTGCCTGGTCGCAGTGGTTCGACGTCTCCAACCCAAGCCTAGACAACAGCGGCGACGACGAGAGCTACGCCGCCATCCGAGCCACCGGCTTGGAGGTCTGCTCCGGCAGGCAGACACCGATAAGCATCGAATGCCGCGCCGACAAATTCCCCGGCGTTCCCGTTGACCAGCTCGGCCAGGTGGTGTCGTGCGACAGCGGCAGCGGCCTCGTCTGCCGCAACGGCGACCAGAGCGGCGACTTGCAGCTGTGCTACAACTACCGCGTCCGGGTGTGCTGCGGCCTCGTCACCACCGTTCCCACTGCGGTCCCGACGACGCTGCTCGCCACCACAGCCGCCACTACGGCCGTCGTTACGAGTGAGTGGCTGCTGCTGCTGAATTCGGTTACAAATTCGCCGTTGGCCACCGGCCACCACCGCCCCCCTGGGAGGATCTGTCGTGAGTGGTTTCTCCCGTGTGACTCGACCCTCCCATTTTATCCCCGCCCCGCCATGTTGTGTGTCGTATCTCACCTTATCTTAAATAAAATGTATATCGGCGCCTTACACAGAATCAACAATAGCAAAGCGTATGAATGCAGTGGTGGAGATGAGGTGAGCAACATAGATGGGAGGAAGCAATGGGGTGGGGGGGGGGGGGGGAATCTGTGTTGATGCGTGAATCCAGCTAAAGCCAAATTGGTGACAATGATGATGAATGGATTGAATGAATGGGGAATGAGCAAAAGTCATCCAATGAGAATATGAAGATGGAACAGTAACGGAGGTGGTGGTTATGACAGAGGAGATTTAAGGGGGGGGGGGGGGTTGTCGTGGGGTGAGCTTGGGGGTAACAATAAGTGTGAGCTGTTTAATGCGGAGCGCAAACTAAGTGAGTAAAGGTGACTGCTCAGTGTGGAGGGGGAAGTGCGTTCAGTGAATGGAGTGGGCAAGAAGAGAGCGTGAGTGAGAGAGAGAGAGAGAAAAAAAGCGTGGCTTGAGCGCGAGGAGAATGAGGGGGAAGAGAAAGAGAGAAGCAGCGAAGATTGAGAACGTATCGCCGAGCGCGGGGAGCCAAATGAGTCGTAAGCCACCACTGCCGCATTCTCCCTCCCTTCCCTTCACTCGACGTTGTTTCTAACCTCAAGTTTGCTTTGTTCAAATAACAAAAATGAATTGGTGTTCAGTGTCGAGTTATCAAAAAATTGTACATGGTTACGGCAACAGACCACAGTATTTAGGCATCTGAAAAACTGTGTAATTGAACCCGCTACTATCACCCGACACAGCCAATTATGAAGGGTTTGTCACGTAAACACAATGTGGCAATTCGTTACGAGTACAGCATTGGCAGTGTGTTGGACAGTAAGCCCACTGCAACATTTTCAATTAATGTAGTGTACAGTGTAGTATACTAGTTCAGCGTCTTGAGACACTATACACTACACTATACACTACACAATAATGGTATATGTTGTAATGGGTTTAGTCTCCAACACACAGTGCACTGTACTAGTATACTACACTATACACTACACTATAATTTTAAATGTTGGAGTGGGTTTACTCTCCAATACACCGGTGCGCTGTACTAGTTACGAATTTGGTACGTTTTGTTCACGTGACGAACCTCACTAATTGGCTATGTCGGGTAGTAGTGGCGGGTCTAACGACACACGTTGTACATCTACGCGATTGAGGTGAGCGCTTACCTCCGTGCGCATTTTGCCTTCGGTTTTCGATTCCCTGTGGCCATGGTCTACACGCAGTTGAACCCCCCCCCCCCTTAACACGTGTGTTGATTTGCACCTCCCTTTCTGTTCTCACCTTCCTAGGGCCGTGCCTGTGCGAGATCTCGCAGGGAGTCACCGTCGCTTCAGGTGAGAGGGGCGGGCGGGCGGGCGGGCGCAACACGCATCGGGCACACAAAACTCACTCGCCATTCCGTCTCTTCTCGTCGTGCCTGGCCCATATACAGTCTATGTTGCTCCTGTAACTACGTGGTGGTAGTAGTAGTCCCATTCCTGAAGAACACCGCGTAATAGTCAAGAACGTATAACATTGGGGGTAAAGCGCTGTCCGCGATAGCCAACGAGATGATAAATAACGCAGGCCGGACAAAGACCAAGGCACGTGGAGTCGCAGCATCCCAATGCCGTAAGCAGTTCATACAACCACTTGCTCCCGCTCGCTCACGACCGCAGTTCCATTTGCTCGACTGCGTTACATCCAATTCGCATCCAGGTTATAAAAAAAAGTGTTCCCCAATGAATTCGTCGCATTATGCATCCAATTCGCGCCCCGCAGAGATCTTACTTTATCTTGACAGAGCGACTTGCGCCGGTCGCGTTGCATCGTTAAAAGGCGGTAATTAAAAAAATCGAGCGATTTCAGATGGCAGGGGCCAGCGCATGGGCCAAGGATTGAGTGACTATAACAGAGGGCACGTTGGTGGGGGGGGGGGGGGGGTCATGGAAGGGGCTATAGAGGAGGGACGGGAAGGAGTGGAGTTAGCGAGGGTAGGGAAGGGGAAGAGAGCGGGAGAGGAGGTTGAGGCTTCAAGAAAGAGGAATGGAAGGGGGTTAAGGAGGGGGGATGACGCCTTCACCTTCGTTATCTCAGCAACACCCAGACGGCCTGTATCTCCACATCATCATCGCGATTGTGATCAATCAATGAAACGGCGGTGCGTTGCTACTGGTTACCTCACAGGCGACATGGTCTACAACACAACGGACGGGCTGGGCGGCTGCCGTGTTGCCGTGTGCCTGCCTGACTGCTCCGGAATCTCGGCCACATCAGGCCCATGCCAGACCACCACCGCCTTCGTCACCGGGGTGGTCACCACCACCGTCGCCGCTACCTTCACCACCAACGGTGCCTCGACCACGACCCTTGGCCCGGTGCCCATGCCGCTCACGCGAGACCTCCCTTTTTTCACGTTCCCCACGGACATCCCCACGACTGAGAGGCGGGCCACCGAGATCGGGGTCAGGACGACGGTCAAGCCGCTGCCCACGACGACCGCGACGACAACGCCCGTCCGGACTACGGCCGCTCCCGTCCAGACGAGGACCGCTGCTTTCGCTACAACGGCAGCAACAACGGCAGCCCCGGGCCAGACGACAGCCGGTCCGGGCCAGACGACAGCTGGTCCGGGCCAGACGACAGCTGGCCCAGTGCAGACAACACCTGGTGCAGTTACTACAACAGCAGCAACAACAGCCGGTCCAGTGCAGACAACAGCAGGACCAGTCCAGACAACAGCTGCTGAACAAACAACAGCTGGTGCAGTCACTACAACAGCAGCAACAACAGCAGAACCAGTGCAGACAACATCTGGTCAATTGCAGACAACAGCCGGCCAAGTGCAGACGACAGCCGGCCCAGTGCAGACAACACCTGGTGCAGTGACTACAACAGCAGCAACAACAGCAGGCCCAGTGGAGACAACAGCTGGTCCATTGCAGACGACACCAGGACCAGTCCAGACAACAGCCGGTCCAGCGCAGACAACAGCTGCTGAACAAACAACAGCTGGTGCAGTCACTACAGCAGCAGCAACAACAGCAGGACCAGTGCAGACGACATCTGGTCAATTGCAGACAACAGCCGGTCCAGTGCAGACAACTGCCAGTCCAGTGCAGACAACAGCTGGTGTAGTCACTACAACAGCAGCAACAACAGCAGGCCCAGTGGAGACAACAGCTGGTCCATTGCAGACGACACCAGGACCAGTCCAGACAACAGCCGGCCCAGCGCAGACAACAGCTGCTGAACAAACAACACCTGGTGCAGTCATTACAACAGCAGCAACAACAGCAGGACCAGTGGAAACGACATCTGGTCCATTGCAGACAACAGCAGGACCAGTCCAGACAACAGCCGGCCAAGTGCAGACGACAGCCGGCCCAGTGCAGACAACAGCTGGTGCAGTGACTACAACAGCAGCAACAACAGCCGGTCCAGTGCAGACAACAGCAGGACCAGTCCAGACAACAGCTGCTGAACAAACAACAGCTGGTGCAGTCACTACAACAGCAGCAACAACAGCAGGACCAGTGCAGACAACATCTGGTCAATTGCAGACAACAGCCGGCCAAGTGCAGACGACAGCCGGCCCAGTGCAGACAACACCTGGTGCAGTGACTACAACAGCAGCAACAACAGCAGGCCCAGTGGAGACAACAGCTGGTCCATTGCAGACGACACCAGGACCAGTCCAGACAACAGCCGGTCCAGCGCAGACAACAGCTGCTGAACAAACAACAGCTGGTGCAGTCACTACAGCAGCAGCAACAACAGCAGGACCAGTGCAGACGACATCTGGTCAATTGCAGACAACAGCCGGTCCAGTGCAGACAACTGCCAGTCCAGTGCAGACAACAGCTGGTGTAGTCACTACAACAGCAGCAACAACAGCAGGCCCAGTGGAGACAACAGCTGGTCCATTGCAGACGACACCAGGACCAGTCCAGACAACAGCCGGCCCAGCGCAGACAACAGCTGCTGAACAAACAACACCTGGTGCAGTCATTACAACAGCAGCAACAACAGCAGGACCAGTGGAAACGACATCTGGTCCATTGCAGACAACAGCAGGACCAGTCCAGACAACATCCGGCCAAGTGCAGACGACAGCCGGCCCAGTGCAGACAACAGCTGGTGCAGTGACTACAACAGCAGCAACAACAGCCGGTCCAGTGCAGACAACAGCAGGACCAGTCCAGACAACAGCTGCTGAACAAACAACAGCTGGTGCAGTCACTACAACAGCAGCAACAACAGCAGCACCAGTGCAGACAACATCTGGTCAATTGCAGACAACAGCCGGTTCAGTGCAGACAACTGCCAGTCCAGTGCAGACAACAGCTGGTGTAGTCACTACAACAGCAACAACAACAGCAGGCCCAGTGGAGACAACAGCTGGTCCATTGCAGACGACACCAGGACCAGTCCAGACAACAGCCGGTCCGGCGCAGACAACAGCTGCTGAACAAACAACACCTGGTGCAGTCATTACAACAGCAGCAACAACAGCAGGACCAGTGGAAACGACATCTGGTCCATTGCAGACAACAGCAGGACCAGTCCAGACAACAGCCGGCCAAGTGCAGACGACAGCCGGCCCAGTGCAGACAACAGCTGGTGCAGTGACTACAACAGCAGCAACAACAGCCGGTCCAGTGCAGACAACAGCAGGACCAGTCCAGACAACAGCTGCTGAACAAACAACAGCTGGTGCAGTCACTACAACAGCAGCAACAACAGCAGCACCAGTGCAGACAACATCTGGTCAATTGCAGACAACAGCCGGTTCAGTGCAGACAACTGCCAGTCCAGTGCAGACAACAGCTGGTGTAGTCACTACAACAGCAACAACAACAGCAGGCCCAGTGGAGACAACAGCTGGTCCATTGCAGACGACACCAGGACCAGTCCAGACAACAGCCGGTCCGGCGCAGACAACAGCTGCTGAACAAACAACACCTGGTGCAGTCATTACAACAGCAGCAACAACAGCAGGACCAGTGGAAACGACATCTGGTCCATTGCAGACAACAGCAGGACCAGTCCAGACAACAGCCAGCCAAGTGCAGACGACAGCCGGCCCAGTGCAGACAACACCTGGTGTAGTCACTACAACAGCAACAACAGCTGGTCCATTGCAGACGACACCAGGACCAGTCCAGACAACAGCCGGCCCAGTGCAGACAACAGCTGCTGAACAAACAACACCTGGTGCAGTTACTACAACAGCAGCAACAACAGCAGGACCAGTGCAGACAACATCTGTTCAATTGCAGACAACAGCCGGTCCAGTGCAGACAACAGCTGGTGTAGTCACTACAACAGCAGCAACAACAGCAGGCCCAGTGGAGACAACAGCTGGTCCATTGCAGACGACACCAGGACCAGTCCAGACAACAGCCGGCCAAGTGCAGACGACAGCCGGCCCAGTGCAGACAACACCTGGTGCAGTGACTACAACAGCAGCAACAACAGCAGGACCAGTGCAGACGACATCTGGTCAATTGCAGACAACAGCCGGTCCAGTGCAGACAACTGCCAGTCCAGTGCAGACAACAGCTGGAGTAGTCACTACAACAGCAGCAACAACAGCAGGCCCAGTGGAGACAACAGCTGGTCCATTGCAGACAACACCAGGACCAGTCCAGACAACAGCCGGTCCAGCGCAGACAACAGCTGCTGAACAAACAACAGCTGGTGCAGTCACTACAACAGCAGCAACAACAGCAGGACCGGTGCAGACGACATCTGGTCAATTGCAGACAACAGCCGGTCCAGTGCAGACAACTGCCAGTCCAGTGCAGACAACAGCTGGTGCAGTCACTACAACAGCAGCAACAACAACAGGACCAGTCCAAACAACAGCCGGCCAAGTGCAGACGACAGCCGGCCAAGTGCAGACAACAGCTGGTACAGTGACTACAACAGCAGCAACAACAGCCGGTCCAGTGCAGACAACAGCAGGACCAGTCCAGACAACAGCTGCTGAACAAACAACAGCTGGTGCAGTCACTACAACAGCAGCAACAACAGCAGGACCAGTGCAGACGACATCTGGTCAATTGCAGACAACAGCCGGTCCAGTGCAGACAACTGCCAGTCCAGTGCAGACAACAGCTGGAGTAGTCACTACAACAGCAGCAACAACAGTAGGCCCAGTGGAGACAACAGCTGGTCCATTGCAGACAACAGCAGGACCAGTCCAGACAACAGCCGGCCAAGTGCAGACGACAGCCGGCCCAGTGCAGACAACACCTGGTGCAGTGACTACAACAGCAGCAACAACAGCAGGCCCAGTGGAGACAACAGCTGGTCCATTGCAGACAACACCAGGACCAGTCCAGACAACAGCCGGTCCAGCGCAGACAACAGCTGCTGAACAAACAACAGCTGGTGCAGTCACTACAACAGCAGCACCAACAGCAGGACTGGTGCAGACGACATCTGGTCAATTGCAGACAACAGCCGGTCCAGTGCAGACAACTGCCAGTCCAGTGCAGACTACAGCTGGTGCAGTCACTACAACTGCAGCAACAACAGCAGGACCAGTCCAAACAACAGCCGGCCAAGTGCAGACGACAGCCGGCCCAGTGCAGACAACAGCTGGTACAGTGACTACAACAGCAGCAACAACAGCCGGTCCAGTGCAGACAACAGCAGGACCAGTTCAGACAACAGCTGCTCAACAAACAACAGCTGGTGCAGTCACTACAACAGCAGCAACAACAGCAGGACCAGTGCAGACGACATCTGGTCAATTGCAGACAACAGCCGCTCCAGTGCAGACAACTGCCAGTCCAGTGCAGACAACAGCTGGAGTAGTCACTACAACAGCAGCAACAACAGCAGGCCCAGTGGAGACAACAGCTGGTCCATTGCAGACAACACCAGGACCAGTCCAGACAACAGCCGGTCCAGCGCAGACAACAGCTGCTGAACAAACAACAGCTGGTGCAGTCACTACAACAGCAGCAACAACAGCAGGACCGGTGCAGACGACATCTGGTCAATTGCAGACAACAGCCGGTCCAGTGCAGACAACTGCCAGTCCAGTGCAGACAACAGCTGGTGCAGTCACTACAACTGCAGCAACAACAGCAGGACCAGTCCAAACAACAGCCGGCCAAGTGCAGACGACAGCCGGCCCAGTGCAGACAACAGCTGGTACAGTGACTACAACAGCAGCAACAACAGCCGGTCCAGTGCAGACAACAGCAGAACCAGTTCAGACAACAGCTGCTGAACAAACAACAGCTGGTGCAGTCACTACAACAGCAGCAACAACAGCAGGACCAGTGCAGACGACATCTGGTCAATTGCAGACAACAGCCGCTCCAGTGCAGACAACTGCCAGTCCAGTGCAGACAACAGCTGGAGTAGTCACTACAACAGCAGCAACAACAGCAGGCCCAGTGGAGACAACAGCTGGTCCATTGCAGACGACACCAGGACCAGTCCAGACAACAGCCGGTCCAGCGCAGACAACAGCTGCTGAACAAACAACACCTGGTGCAGTCATTACAACAGCAGCAACAACAGCAGGACCAGTGGAAACGACATCTGGTCCATTGCAGACAACAGCAGGACCAGTCCAGACAACAGCCGGCCAAGTGCAGACGACAGCCGGCCCAGTGCAGACAACACCTGGTGCAGTGACTACAACAGCAGCAACAACAGCAGGCCCAGTGGAGACAACAGCTGGTCCATTGCAGACAACACCAGGACCAGTCCAGACAACAGCCGGTCCAGCGCAGACCACAGCTGCTGAACAAACAACAGCTGGTGCAGTCACTACAACAGCAGCAACAACAGCAGGACCGGTTCAGACGACATCTGGTCAATTGCAGACAACAGCCGGTCCAGTGCAGACAACAGCTGGTGTAGTCACTACAACAGCAGCCACAACAGCAGGCCCAGTGGAGACAACAGCTGGTCCATTGCAGACGACACCTGGTGCAATCACTACAACAGCAGCAACAACTGCAGGCCTAGTGGAGACAACAGCCGGTCCAGTGCAGACAACACCTGGTGCAATCACTACAACAGCAGCAACAACAGCAGGCCTGGTGGAGACAACAGCCGGTCCAGTGCAGACAACAGCTGCTGAACAAACAACACCTGGTGCAGTCATTACAACAGCAGCAACAACAGCAGGACCAGTGGAAACGACATCTGGTCCATTGCAGACAACAGCAGGACCAGTCCAGACAACAGCCGGCCAAGTGCAGACGACAGCCGGCCCAGTGCAGACAACAGCTGGTGCAGTGACTACAACAGCAGCAACAACAGCCGGTCCAGTGCAGACAACAGCAGGACCAGTCCAGACAACTGCCAGCCCAGTGGAGACGACAGCCGGCCCAGTGCAGACAACACCTGGTGCAATCACTACAACAGCAGCAACAACAGCAGGCCTGGTGGAGACAACAGCCGGTCCAGTGCAGACAATAGCTGCTGAACAAACAACACCTGGTGCAGTCATTACAACAGCAGCAACAACAGCAGGACCAGTGGAAACGACATCTGGTCCATTGCAGACAACAGCAGGACCAGTCCAGACAACAGCCGGCCCAGTGCAGACGACAGCCGGCCCAGTGCAGACGACAGCCGGCCCAGTGCAGACAACAGCCGGCCCAGTGCAGACGACAGCCGGCCAAGTGCAAACGACATCTGCTGAACAGGCAACACCTGCTGCAGTCACCACAACAGCAGCAGCAACAACAGCAGGCCCGGTGCAGACCACAGCCGGCCCAGTGGAGACGACAGCCGGCCCAGTGGAGACCACGGCCGCCCCAGCGCAAACTACGATGGCGACGACAATTGCCGTCACGACGATCCCGACGACGACGGCTGCCCCGATAGCGACCACGGTCGCCGAGCGGCAGACAACGTCGGCCACGACCCCGGCGCAGACGACGGCGGCCGAGCTCGAGACGACGGCCGCGGCGGTCACGACGACGGCGGCCGGGCCGGTCCGGACGACGGCGGCCGGGCCGGTCGCAACGACGGCGGCCCCGGTCCGGACGACGGCGGCCCCGGTCCGGACGACCGAAGGCGGCGCGCTGTCGACGGGCGCCCTAACGACGGGCGCCGGGCTGACCACGGCGCCCCAAGTGCCGCCGACGGCACCGCCGACGGCACCGCCCAACGACTGCCACCAGCTCAACCCTCCGCGCAAGGCGAGCCGAGGGCACCGTCGCCGCAAAGCCGCGCAGGCCAGACGCACGCAGCTACGTAGGCGCTACGGCGCAGCGCCCCATGACGACCGCTGAGGCGCTATTGCTATTGATCGTTTTTCCCAGTGGGATGCATGCATGTACGTTCGGCTGTGTACCACCTTGGCGCGGTACGCAGCCGAGCGTCCCCAGTCGAAATTGCGGGGTTAAGGCCAACGAGCGAACACGCAGAAAGCGTGTTAGTTGGTCGGGATGAGTTTTCAATTGAGAGTTTTGAAAGTGAATCGCAGCCCTCCGAGTGGCTTCCCAGCATCGGACGGAAGAGCATTACGGACAGCCGCAGAAGCGCATCTGAAAGCGCGCGATGCGTGATGGCCAGCCAAAATCCGCTGCTCCAAGGAGGACCGGAGTTTGCATGATAGTTTTCTCATACTCCCTGTGGGATTTGCTCATTTCCCTGTACTTGACCTCTATGTGAGTATGTGGGTCTCTTGCACAGGTTTATGGGTCTCCCCCAGGCGAAATTCAGATGCTCATTCTGGTATCTATGAATCTTTGGCGACCCACAGTGGCGAGATGTGAACTATCTCGCCCGGTATACAGGAGGTCATGGGTTCGATCCCGAACCTGACGTGAAGTATACACTTCACTGCTGTACACTACACAATAAACTACGCTGCTATACACGACACTATACACCGCACGACTATGCACGTGCGATGCGCACGCTCTGGATACTTCCGGTGGTGCGAATGAAGTTCAACGCACGCACAGACACCACGCGCACGAGGACCCCCCCCCACCCCAGAGGCATCGCAGCAAGCGATCTGAAGCGCGCAATGGCCGCGATCGTAACGAGCAACCCATTCCCCCAAGACCCTTGCCGACCCACCACCCAAACCACCTCTAACCACCCCCCCCTTTGTGGCGAGCAGCTGGGCGAGCAGTGGAACGAGAACGACTGCATGCTGGCGACGTGCATGGGCGACGGCTCACAGGTCTCAATGACGAAGCGGCCGTGCGTGGTCCCCTCGCCACCGGCCTGCGAGTCGGGCCGCCCCTCGCGACGTGTCACCGACCCCGACGGCTGCTGCTACCACTGGGAGTGCGACTGTGAGTCTGGAGGGGGGTGGGGGGGGGGGTGGGCTGAGGGAGGGGTGGGCAGCGGAGGTCACAATGGGGTGACGGGTTGGGCGGGACGAGGGGACCTGGTAAAATAAAAAAATGGTTTAACTCGTAGGCTTTCGCGACCAATATTATTCATGATCAAAATCAAAAAGTTTTTTTTTTTTTTAGTCTACGGGTCTCTGTGTCTCGATGTGTCTCTATGGGTCTCTGTTGGTCTCTGTGCATATCTACGAGCCTCTGTGTGATCTCTATGCGTTCAGAATATTTTTGCTGCTGCTATCAATTCCCACGTGGTGATGGTGATGATGATGATGATCCACCACTTTGTTGAGCTGCTGCCATTTGTGATGGCCAGGTCGCTTCTGAAAAGAAACTACGTAGCTCAGTGGGCCGTTAGCTTGTAAAATAAAAAAATATATATAGTTTCGTTTTATTTTAGTCTACGGGTCTCTATGTGTCTCTATGCATATCTATGGATTTCTGTATCCCGATGCGTTCAGAATACTTGGCCGCTGCTACGAATGTCCACGTGATGATGATCATGATAAGCCGCCACAACGTTGAGCCGCTATCATCTGTGAAAGGCAGGTCTCACTTCTACAAAAAAGAGCTTCATAGCTCAGTGGGCCCTTAGCTGGTAAAATAAAAACAAAAATAGTTTTAGCTTATCGCGTGGCTCGCCAACCACCGCGTCGCCGCTCACCTCCTCCATCCCCTCCGTCCGCACGCGCGCTTCCCGCAGGCATCTGCACTGGCTTCGGCGACACGCACATGCAGACGTTCGACGGCGCGCGCTTCTCCCCGCCGGGCAACTGCACGTACATCCTCGTGGAGGAGCGGCAGAAGCTCCACGACTTCTCCATCGTCGCCGACAACTTCGACTGCGCCTCGACGCCGCAGGCCTCCTCGTGCACGCGAGGCCTCGTCATCTCCTACCAGGGCAACGTCCTGCGTGCCACCATGACTTCCAGCGGCAATCCCAGCGAGCGCAGGGTGAGGCCTCCGGGAACGATGATGGCGGCGGCGGCGACGACGGGGCGGTGGCCAGGTGTCGCTTCTGCCAAAATGGCTGCATAGTAGCAGCTCAGTAGTGGGGGGGCCTTACCTGGTTTCAATGAAATAGTTCAGTTTCTGTGCATCTGTATGCGTTTCGAGTGTCTGGCTGCTGCCATGAATGTCCAAGTGATGATGGCAAGCCACTTGCTCGAGCTGCCATCCTTAACCCCCCCCCCCCACGGGATATGGAAGCTGCCACCCTCCCCAGCCGTCCGGCATGCTGCTGTGGCTGTACCGTGACCTCCCTCCGTCTCCTCTTTCTCTCTCTCTACTCCGACAGTTCCTGCTGAACCAGAAGACCAAGAAGGCGCCCTTCAACGAGCGCGGCTTCCAGGTGTCCACCGTCAAAACCGACGACATCATCTTCATCAAGGACCTGCGCGTCCGCGTGCAGTTCAACGGCCTCGGCTTCCTCATCGACCTGCCGCGAGACCTCTTCTGGGACAACACGCAGGGACAGTGCGGTACGCGAGACACGGACTGAGACGCGGAGACGCGGGGAGGGACCGGCAAATCCGCCCGTGGGGAGAGAAACGCGGGGCACAGAGAGGGAGAGCGAGAGAGAGAGAGAGATGCACGCGGGATGAGAGACGCGCCAGTGGAGGCACGGGGAGGCGTTGCAAGATGCAGGAAGATGCAGAGAGAGACACGGGGAGGCGTGGGAACGCACGGAGAGAGACGGGGAGGCACGGGGAGGCAGAGGGAAGGAATGGGGAGGCACGGGGGAGAGGCGTGGGAAGGCGTTGGAGAGACACGGGAAGGCGTGGGAACGCACGGGGAGAGACGGGGAGGCACGGGGAGGCGTGGAGAGACACGGGAAGGCGTAGGGAGGGATGGGGAGACACAAGGAGACACGGGGAGGCAGGCGAAGGCATGGGGAGACATGGGGAGACGTGGAGAGACACGGGGAGACACAGAGAGACATGGGTAGACACGGGCAAGCGCGGGGGAGGCATGGGGAGACACAGGGAGACAGATGGAGACGCAGGAACACACCGGGAGGTATGCAATCGGCACAGAAAGATCCAGGGGCGCACGGCGACGTTGTCATAAGACACGGGGAGCCACCGGAAGGCGTGGGAATCTCTGCGGGGTATGGGAAGGAACGTGGAGGCAATGGGGAGAGAGACGATGAGGGCGGTGCAGCGAGTAAACCTCCCTTATACCCCCCCCCGCCCCGCCCCGCCCCTGTCTGTCACCGTCGCCACCGCCGCCGCAGGCACGTGCAACAACATGCGCAAGGACGACTGCATGGGCCGCGATGGCATTCCGCGGGCGGCCGAGTGCTGTGCCGTGGCGGCGGGCGACTGGATGACGGACGACCCGGCTAAGCCGCAGTGCATTCGCATGCTGCTGCCCGCCAAGCTGAGCTGCGCCGGCGGCGCCACGCAGGCGACGACGTGTGCCGGAGCCGACGAGTGCAACGCGCTCATCCTGCAGTGAGTGCTCGTCAGTCCCGTTGGCGAGCGGGGCCGCGGGTCTGTGAGTCCATGGGTCTGTTAGTCTACGGGTCTGTGGGTCTGTGGGTCTGTTAGTCTACGGGTCTGTGGGTCTGTGGGTCTGTTAGTCTACGGGTCTGTGGGTCTGTGGGTATGTGAGTCTGTGGGTCTGTGGGTCTGTGGGTCTGTTAGTCTACGGGTCTGTTAGTCTGTGGGTCTGTGAGTCCATGGGTCTGTTAGTCTATGGGTCTGTGGGTCTGTGGGTCTGTGAGTCCATGGGTCTGTTAGTCTATGGGTCTGTGGGTCTGTGGGTCTGTGAGTCTACGGGTCTGTGGGTCTGTGAGTCTACGGGTCTGTGGGTCTGTTAGTCTACGGGTCTGTGGGTCTGTTAGTCTACGGGTCTGTGGGTCTGTGAGTCTACGAGTCTGTGGGTCTGTGAGTCTATTGGTCTGTGGGTCTATGGGTCTGTGGGTCTGTTAGTCTACGGGTCTGTGGGTCTGTGGGTCTGTGAGTCTACGGGTCTGTGGGTCTGTGGGTCTGTGGCTCTGTGGGTCTGTGGGTCTGTGGGTCTGTGAATCTATTGGTCTGTGGGTCTATGGGTCTGTGAGTCTACGGGTCTGTGGGTCTGTGGGTCTGTGGGTCTGTTAGTCTACGGGTCTGTGGGTCTGTGGGTCTGTGAGTCTATGGGTCTGTGGGTCTGTGGGTCTGTGAGTCTACGGGTCTGTGGGTCTGTGAGTCTACGGGTCTGTGGGTCTGTGAGTCTATTGGTCTGTGGGTCTATGGGTCTGTGAGTCTATGGGCTCTGTGAGTCTATGGGTGTCTGAGTCTATGGGTCTGTGAGTCTACGGGTCTGTGAGTCTACGGGTTTGTGGGTTTATGGGTCTGTGAGTCTATGGGTGTCTGAATCTATGGGTCTGTGAGTCTGCGGGTCTGTGGGTCTATGGGTCTGTGAGTCTATGGGCTCTGTGAGTCTATGCGTCTCTGGGTCTACGGGTCTCTGACTGCGGATCTCCCCCCGGTGACCGCAGGACGTTCCAGTCATGTTCCGCTGTGGTGGACCTGTCGGGCTACTACGAGGGCTGCAAAAGTGACCACTGCAAGCCACGCACGCAGGCCCTGGACTGCGCTGGGGCCCAGCTCGCCGCCGCCGAGTGCGGCCGTGCCGGAGTGTGCGTCAACTGGCGCCCGCTCGTCCCCGACAAGTGCCGTGAGTTCGCCGCGCCGGCCATCGCGACGTCTCCCGGTGCAACGTTTCCGCCGGTTGCGGAGCCGCCTCCGGCGTGCAGCGTGGAGCATTGACGCCTCCCGTGTGAAGCGTGGAGTGCGAAGTGTGGAGTGTGATGCCTCCCGTGTGAAGCGTGGAGTGCGAAGTGTGGAGTGTGACACCTCCTGTGTGAAGCGTGGAGTGCGAAGCGTGGAGCGTGATGCCTCCCGTGTGAAGTGCCGAGCGTGGCGCCTCCTGTGTGAAGTGTCGAGTGTGACGCCTCCTGTGTGAAGTGCCGAGCGTGGCGCCTCCTGTGTGAAGTGTCGAGTGTGACGCCTCCCGTGTGAAGTGTCGAGTGTGACGCCTCCCGTGTGAAGTGTCGAGTGTGACGCCTCCCGTGTGAAGTGTCGAGTGTGACGCCTCCCGTGTGAAGTGTCGAGTGTGATGCCTCCCGTGTGAAGTGTCGAGTGTGACGCCTCCCGTGTGAAGTGTCGAGGGTGACGCCTCCCGTGTGAAGTGTCGAGTGTGACGCCTCCTGTGTGAAGTGTCGAGTGTGATGCCTTCCATGTGAAGTGTCGAGTGTGACGCCTCCCGTGTGAAGTGTCGAGGGTGACGCCTTCCATGTGAAGTGTCGAGACCTTAACGTGCACCTAGCCTGGCACAAGCACCATGGTATCGTCACTGCGCTATGAACCTGGCGACCCGAGTTCGATTCCCACTCACGGCCAATACCGATGACGATTATCTGAATCGGTCGTGGGCCTTCCCGAGGTCGACTCAGCCTCAAATGAGTACCTGGTGCGGTGTGTACAAACATCCCCATTAGGGAGACAAAGGCGGCCGGGCGTGGTGCTGGCCACCCACCCCCTCGTGTGCCCTGCTGGTCTTCATAGGTGGCGTGGACAGGTAAGGGAGTCTCTGTGTGGGCGAGTGAGTCTCGCTAAAGAGTAGCACCTATCCACGAGTAGCACTTGCCCTAACAGTCTGTTAAGGTTATGTGGGGGATCTTCTGTTTGTCTTTGTGTGTGTGTGCAGCGTATACATGCCCTGGGAACATGGTGTACAAGTACTGCGAGACAAAGGCTACACCAGTGTGTGGCGTGGACAGGTAAGGCAGTCTCTGTGTGGGCGAGTGAGTCTCTGTGTGTGTGTCCCCGTGTGTGGTTGCGTTGAGCTGGGTCACACAGCCCGCATGCCCCAGCCAACGCTTCCGTTTGGCCGCATAGAGGGGTGCTAAATTGGCACGACATGGGCTGGGGAAGAGATGGAGCTGATGTGGTACGAGAGGATGTGGAGCTGAGTGGACTTGCCGATGACCGGTACCAGCGGTGTTAAGATCAGCCTCTGTGGCGGGAGGAGGCTTGTGAAGGACTCTGCTGCTGCTACTGGGCAGTTGGAGGCAGTCGTCCTCCAGCAATAACTGAGGTCAGAGGAGCGACGCTCATAATAACGAGCGGAGCGCCGGGAGGGTAAAATGCAGCAATTTTGTTAAAGTAGGGGGTACAGCTGGTGCATCTTCCAGCCATCTCAGTCAGCCAACCCATGGCACCTGGGTCTGTCCCGAGACCTCCTCCTGTCAGCGAGCCTTCGACACCATTCGCCGCGGTGACGTCACCGTCACTTTCGTGGCGAATGGCGGGGCATTGGTGTTGGCATTCGGTGTCCGTGTGTGTGTGTGTGTTTGTCTGTCATCTCGATCAACCCACCCTACCTGGGCCTGCCCCCTGTGACCTCCTGCCGCGAGCCTTTTGGCACTTTCACGATGCGGCCTCAAAGTGCGACTTCGCCTGGCATGGGCGGCGCTGCCGTCGTACGTCGGCGCGCTCTTGACGCGGCTGTCTCCTCCGTCCATTCAGAATCGATGCATCGAACCTGTGGAAGGGAGAGGGCTGCTACTGCGGTGATGGGCAGCAGCTGCTGGAGGCCGGCTCCTCCACCTGTGTGACTACGTGTCCAGGTAACGCGGGCACGCGGCAAAGGTCTCCCACGTAGCCTGTGTCAGACCATCGGGGCAAGTGTGCCGTTAGTCGCGGGCACCTCTGCAGGCCTGCGCTGGCACGCGAGCGGGTCGGTGGCAAGCACCACGCCCGGTCGCCTTTGTCTCCCCAGTGGCGATGTTTACTACACACCGCTACACCAGCTACTCATCTGAGGCTGGGTCGACCTAGGGGAGGCCCAGGACCAGTTCAGATAATCGCTGTCGCTGGTGTTAGCCTTGAGCGGGAATAAAACTCTGGTTGCCGTGTGCATAGGGCAGCGTAGCGCTAACCGCTACCACTCCCGCTCCCCACAATGCATACAAACACATACGCCCACGCACGAATGCGTACACACACACACACACAAGCACATTTGTCCCTCCACCCGCACCTCCAATTAGCACGGTTGGCTACCTAGACCTCAAAGAAGTTCAACATACATACACACCCACACACACAACTATAGACACACGTACACATCCATACACTCACACACGTGCACACACGTGACACGTGAGATCCTGGTTGTGACCTCCGCGCTGTGTGCGTGTTTTTTTTCGCAGAGTGTTGGTCAGACAGCGGTGAACCCAAATACGTGAGTACCTCCTCATACCACCGCCGCTAATAGTCGCCATGTCCCCCCCCCCCTACTTAACCCTTTCCCATGGGCGTTGCGTGCACGTCCTCGGCCTTCCCTCCGAATCAATATCTGATTATCGGTTTTTCGAAAGTGAGGCAGTGCCACTGCCCGCGACGTTTGCCAATCCGCGAGCACCTCTGGAAACGTATGTCGCTCATCGCGAATGACGAGGGTAAATTCTCGCACCTTACTACGCGTACATTGACTGGCCGATCGGCTGGCTGACGATTGGCTGACTGGGCGACCGGCCGGCCGGCCGGCCGGCTCGGCTGACGATTGGCTCACTGGCCGAGCGACCGGCCGGCCGGCTAGCTTACGATTGGCTGACTTGCCGACCGACCGGCCTGGCTGACGATTGGCTGACTGGCCGAGCGACCGACTGGCCCGCCGGCTGACGATTGGTTGACTGGCACGAGCGACCAACTGGCTGGCTGACGATTGGCTGTCTGGCCGAACCGACCGACCAGCTGGCTGGCTGGCAATCGGATGACTGGCCCGACCGACCGGCTGATGATTGGCTGACTCGGTGCAGGTCGGGGACCAATGGAAGGAGGGCTGTGACCAGTGCGAGTGCCTGGAGGGAGGCAACGTGGAGCGCACGGCGCTGCCCTGCAAGCTGCCCACTGTCACCTGCCCCATCGGGGTCAACCTGGTCCCAGCGCCCACCCCCGTCACGGAGGACATCATCACCACCACATGCTGCCCCCGCGTGGAGTGCGGTGAGGAGCGCGGCCGTGAGGGGTCGTGGGCAGGGAGTTCACGGGGAGGGGTCACGGGAGAGGTCATGGGACAAGGTCACGGGAGAGGGTCACGGGAGAGGTCATGGGAGAGAGTCACAGGAGGGTCACGGGAGAGGTTCATGGGAGAGGTTCACGGGAGAGGTCATGGCAGTGGGTCACGCACAAGAGAGAGTATCAGGAGAGGGTCGTAGAAAAGGTCATGGGAGAGGTAGTGGGACAGGGTCACGGGAGAGGGTCACAGGAGAGGGTCATCTGCGCCGCGCCGTTCCATCCACGAGTTTTGACTGAGCGCTGTGCTGCTCTTCTCTTCCAGCTGCCTGCAGACACAGCGGCTCCGTCTATCAGGTGAGCTCGCAATGCCCATCACGCGACGCTCCGCTGACCAACGGCGAGGCGGCTCAGGGCGGTAACGGCGGCGACCGCCCTTAGCCGCTGCTGTATATTTGGAGTTTGCGTCTCTCTCTCTCTCTCTCATCATCATCATCATCACGGTGGCTAGGAGATGTTGACTACCTCGCCTGGTGTGCAGGAGGTAGTGGGTTCGATCCCGACCCTGACGATGCCTGCTGCTGCTGCTGCTGTATATTTGGAGTTTGCGTCTCTCTCTCTCTCTTTCTCTCCCCGTGGTGGCGTGGATTTTTTCTCCACATTTTATAATCAGCATCACCGCGCGTTGAGAGTATCCGACTGTCGTAAATTTCCACATGATGATTATGATGCTGACAAGCCTCATGATCATCGTGATCAATTGTGATCGCCAGGGTCGCTTTCAAAAAAGAACTACAGAGCTCCATAGTGTCCCTTACACCATGACAGCAATAAGAAAAATGAGTTCAAGCGCGTTTGGCTACGTACAGTGGTGCTCAAGCAGTCCAACGTACATACAACCTACCATACACTACACTATCCACTACTATCCACTATAATATACACTACACTACTATACACTACTAAACAGTACACTACTATACACGACGCTTGTAAAACACTACACTACTACACACTGTATACAACACCACTATACTACATCGAGAACTCATTTCTATAGAACGGCTGCTTGCTGCTGCTGTTGTTGTTGTTGTGTATTAGTTTGTTGTCCTGCACTGGCTCAGCCACGGTCGCCTTACGCGCGTGCGGTGCAAAAAAATGGGACGCATTCCGCACGTGCAAACCAACCAACCGTTGCCGTGAACGCCGGCGTCGGCGCGCAGGTCGGCGACACGTGGACAGACAACAACGACATGTGCCTACGCTTCTCCTGCACGGCCGTCGGTGGCTCGGCCGCCATCGTGGAGAAAATGATCACCTGCGCACCGTTCGACTTCAGCAAGTGCAAGGTGCGTTCGGGGGCGGAACGCCGCCGTCCGGCGGGACTCGTTCGCCACGCTGTAGAGGGCCTGGCGCGCCAAAATCTCGACGTTTTAATTTGGGTTGGCGTGAATATATAGATGTCGGCAAAAGCCCGCCACCACCCGACACGGCCAACTGGTAAGGGTTGTCACGTAAGCAGAACGTGGCCAATTCGTCACTAGTACAGCACTAGTGTATAGTGTAGTGTATAGTAGTGGATAGTGTAGTGTATAGTGTAGTGTATAGTAGTGGATAGTGTAGTGGATAGTGTAGTGTATAGTGTAGTGTATAGTGTAGTGTATAGTGCAGTGTATAATGTAGTGTATAGTAGTGTATAGTGTAGTGTATAGTAGTGTGTAGTGTAGTGTATAGTAGAGTAGTGTATAGTGTAGTGTATAGTAGTGTATAGTGCAGTGTATAATGTAGTGTATAGTAGTGTATAGTGTAGTGTATAGTAGAGTAGTGTATAGTGTAGTGTATAGTAGTATAGTGTATAGTAGTGTAGTATACTAGTACAGCACACCGGTGTATTGGAGAGCCAAGCCACGACATTTACAATCCGAGTACGACGTTTCGCCAGCAATTACAACCGGCTTCATCAGGCAACAGCCAGCTTTCGTTACCGCGGGAATTCACATTCTTTGGGTCTTTCGGTAACGTCACGCAGATAGCTTCAAAGAAAATAACAAACAAAAAAACACGTTTCAATCGCAACACAAGCAGTCCTCATCAGGTGGTTAGCTTCTGAAGATAAACTGTTTGTTTTGTGTGCGATTCACGCTCTTTGGATGTTGTCTCCCTACCAGTCGGCGCCCATCTACGATGACTTTGGATGCTGTCCACTGTCGTGTGAGTATTTGTACTTCGCATGCCTACAGGGTGTCCCACTACACTATACACTCCTATATATACACTACACTATACACTACTATATACACTACACTATACACTACTATATACACTACACTATACACTACTATATACACTACACTATAAACTACTATATATGTACACTACACTACACACTACTATATATGTACACTACTATATATACACTACACTACTATATATACACTACACTATACACTACTCTATATACACTACACTATACACTACATATACACTACACTATACACTACTATATATACACTACACTATACACTACTATATATACACTACACTATACACTACTATATATTCTACACTATACACTACTATATACATACACTACACTATACACCATTATACACTACACTATACACTACTATATACACTACACAATACACTACTATATATGTACACTACACTATACACTACCATATACACTACACCCCTGACCAGGACTTCTGCGTGAAAGAGCTTCGCAGCTCATCAGATTCCTGCTCCGAGATAAACGATTTTGATTCTGCTGCTGCTGATGATTCTACTGCTGATGATGATGCTGCTGCTGCTGATCCTGCTGCTGCTGATGATTCTGCTGCTGATGATTCTGCTGCTGATGATGCTGATGCTGCTGCTGATGATGATTCTGCTGCTGATGATGATGCTGCTGATCCTGCTGCTGATGATTCTGCTGCTGATGATGATGCTGATGATGATGCTGCTGCTGCTACTGCTGCTGATCCTGATGATGATGATGCTGCTACTGCTGCTGCTGATCCTGCTGCTGATGATGATGCTGCTGCTGCTGCTGCTGATCCTGCTGCTGCTGATCCTGATGATGATGATGCTGATGCTGCTGCTGCTGATCCTGCTGCTGCTGATGATGATGATGCTGCTGCTGCTGATCCTGCTGATGATGATGCTGCTGATTCTGCTGCTGATGATGATGATGTTGCTACTCGTGCCGTGCAGGTGAGAAAGACCCGGATGCGTCCATCACCAAGTGCGAGGTGCTGACGTCCGTGGAAAAGATCCAAGTGGACAGCTGCGTGTCCGACGATGTCACCCTGAGCCAGTGCAGTGGAATGTGCCTCTCCCTGGCTCGGTAAGCCACGGCACAGCGGGACCAGTGTGGCGGTGATAGTGGTGCTGGTGGTGGTGGTGGTGATGGTGGTGATGGTGATGATGGTGATGGTGGTGCTGGTGGTGGTGTTGATGGTGGTGATGGTGGTGATGGTGATGATGGTGCTGGTGGTGCTGGTGGTGATGGTGCTGGTGGTGATGGTGGTGATGATGATGGTGCTGGTGTTGGTGGTGATGGTGCTGGTGGTGATGGTGGTGGTGGTGATGGTGGTGGTGGTGATGGTGGTGGTGGTGCTGGTGGTGGTACCCCCTGGCTTTGCCAGCGAGAAGGCGGCACAGCAGCAGAGTGCGTGGACTCATCTCCATCTGTTCCATCTCACTCCCTTCTACCCCGTGTGTGGACTAATCTCCATCTGTTCCATCTCACTCCACCTTCTACCCCGTGTGTGGACTAATCTCCATCTGTTCCATCTCAATCCCTTCTACACCGTGTATGGACTAATCTCCATCTGTTCCATCTCACTCCCTTCTACCCACGTGTGGACTAATCTCCATCTGTTCCATCTCACTCCACCTTCTACCCCGTGTGTGGACTAATCTCCATCTGTTCCATCTCAATCCCTTCTACCCACGTGTGGACTAATCTCCATCTGTTCCATCTCACTCCACCTTCTACCCCGTGTGTGGACTAATCTCCATCTGTTCCATCTCACTCCCTTCTACCCACGTGTGGACTAATCTCCATCTGTTCCATCTCGCTCCCTTCTACACCGTGTGTGGACTAATCTCCATCTGTTCCATCTCACTCCCTTCTACCTGCGTGTGGACTAATCTCCATCTGTTCCATCTCACTCCCTTCTACCCACGTGTGGACTAATCTCCATCTGTTCCATCTCACTCCACCTTCTACCCCGTGTGTGGACTAATCTCCATCTGTTCCATCTCACTCCCTTCTACCCACGTGTGGACTAATCTCCATCTGTTCCATCTCACTCCACCTTCTACCCCGTGTGTGGACTAATCTCCATCTTTTCCATCTCACTCACCTTCTACCCCGTGTGTGGACTAATCTCCATCTGTTCCATCTCACTCCCTTCTACCCACGTGTGGACTAATCTCCATCTGTTCCATCTCGCTCCCTTCTACACCGTGTGTGGACTAATCTCCATCTGTTCCATCTCAATCCCTTCTACCCACGTGTGGACTAATCTCCATCTGTTCCATCTCACTCCACCTTCTACCCCGTGTGTGGACTAATCTCCATCTGTTCCATCTCACTCCACCTTCTACCCCGTGTGTGGACTAATCTCCATCTGTTCCATCTCACTCCCTTCTACCCACGTGTGGACTAATCTCCATCTGTTCCATCTCGCTCCCTTCTACACCGTGTGTGGACTAATCTCCATCTGTTCCATCTCAATCCCTTCTACCCACGTGTGGACTAATCTCCATCTGTTCCATCTCACTCCACCTTCTACCCCGTGTGTGGACTAATCTCCATCTGTTCCATCTCACTCCACCTTCTACCCCGTGTGTGGACTAATCTCCATCTGTTCCATCTCACTCCCTTCTACCCACGTGTGGACTAATCTCCATCTATTCCGTCTCCCTCCCTTCTACCCGCGTGTGGACTAATCTCCATCTGTTCCATCTCACTCCACCTTCTACCCCGTGTGTGGACTAATCTCCATCTGTTCCATCTCACTCCCTTCTACCCACGTGTGGACTAATCTCCATCTGTTCCATCTCACTCCCTTCTACCCACGTGTGGACTAATCTCCATCTGTTCCATCTCACTCCCATCTACCCACGTGTGGACTAATCTCCATCTGTTCCATCTCACGCCCATCTACCCACGTGTGGACTAATCTCCATCTGTTCCATCTCACTCCACCTTCTACCCCGTGTGTGGACTAATCTCCATCTGTTCCATCTCACTCCACCTTCTACCCCGTGTGTGGACTAATCTCCATCTGTTCCATCTCACTCCCTTCTACCCACGTGTGCACTAATCTCCATCTGTTCCATCTCACTCCACCTTCTACCCCGTGTGTGGACTAATCTCCATCTGTTCCATCTCACTCCACCTTCTACCCCGTGTGTGGACTAATCTCCATCTGTTCCATCTCACTCCCTTCTACCCACGTGTGGACTAATCTCCATCTATTCCGTCTCCCTCCCTTCTACCCGCGTGTGGACTAATCTCCATCTGTTCCATCTCACTCCACCTTCTACCCCGTGTGTGGACTAATCTCCATCTGTTCCATCTCACTCCCTTCTACCCACGTGTGGACTAATCTCCATCTGTTCCATCTCACTCCCTTCTACCCACGTGTGGACTAATCTCCATCTGTTCCATCTCACTCCCATCTACCCACGTGTGGACTAATCTCCATCTGTTCCATCTCACGCCCATCTACCCACGTGTGGACTAATCTCCATCTGTTCCATCTCACTCCACCTTCTACCCCGTGTGTGGACTAATCTCCATCTGTTCCATCTCACTCCACCTTCTACCCCGTGTGTGGACTAATCTCCATCTGTTCCATCTCACTCCCTTCTACCCACGTGTGCACTAATCTCCATCTGTTCCATCTCACTCCACCTTCTACCCACGTGTGGACTAATCTCCATCTTTTCCATCTCACTCCACGTTCTACCCCGTGTGTGGACTAATCTCCATCTGTTCCATCTCACTCCATTCTACCCACGTGTGGACTAATCTCCATCTGTCCCATCTCACTCCCTTCTACCCACGTGTGGACTAATCTCCATCTGTTCCATCTCACTCCACCTTCTACCCCGTGTGTGGACTAATCTCCATCTGTTCCATCTCACTCCCTTCTACCCACGTGTGGACTAATCTCCATCTGTTCCATCTCACTCCCTTCTACCCACGTGTGGACTAATCTCCATCTGTTCCATCTCACTCCCTTCTACCCACGTGTGGACTAATCTCCATCTGTTCCATCTCACTCCCTTCTACCCACGTGTGGACTAATCCCCATCTGTTCCATCTCACTCCCTTCTACCCACGTGTGGACTAATCTCCATCTGTTCCATCTCACTCCACCTTCTACCCACGTGTGGACTAATCTCCATCTGTTCCATCTCAATCCCTTCTACACCGTGTATGGACTAATCTCCATCTGTTCCATCTCACTCCCTTCTACCCACGTGTGGACTAATCTCCATCACGGCTCCTTCAGGAGATTGGCCATTGGCGGTCCGTCTGCGTGCGGGCGCGGCGACCCGCGACCGCTTCTGATTCCGCGAGCCGTGTCCCCCCCCCCCGCCCCCCCCCACTCCCCCCCCGGCGCACTTTGCCCACAGGCTCAACTACCAGACGGGCGGCATCACCCACGAGTGCAAGTGTTGCCAGGAGACGGTGACGGAGCAGCGGAACGCTCCGCTGCGGTGCACCAACGGCACCATCCAGGAGTACTCCTACAAGTACATCCGCGAGTGCAGCTGCAAGCTCTGCGAATGAATGAACGCCGGCCGCAACGACAACGACGACGACGACGACGACGACACCCCCACACCGCCCCCGCCCCCCACTCACCCCTCCTCCTTAGCGCCCCCCCCCCCCCTCCTCCCCCCGCCACCCTCCGCCGCCGCCCTCCTTCACCACACCGCGGTGAACCCCCGTAACATCCACCTAACCCGCCCCCGTCCACCCCCCCTGCGCGGGCCAACGAACCGAGAGATGCCGGAAACGACGACCGACCGACCGACCGACCGGCCGACCGGCCGGCCAGGCCGGCCAGGCCGGCCAGGCCCGGCGACGATGGGCCACTTCTCCGCGGTGCGATGCCGCTGCCTCTGCCGATTTGGCTTGACGACGCCACGCCGATTGCCGCACCCCCGAGCGCGACGTCTTGCCCAGCGCCGGCAGAGCTGCGCCACGCACGCTAACGCGCGCGCACGCGCACGTGCACGCGCACGTGCGCGCGCACGCGCACGTGCTCGTGCACGTGCGCGTGCACGCGCACGTGCGCGTGCGCGTGCACGTGCTCGCACAACAACAGCAGAAGCAGCCGCCGCCATTCGCCACCGAGTGGCGGCGACGTCACCGCGGCGCTCGCATGCGCGCGCTTATGCACGAAACACTCGTGCCCACCGGATGACGCCGCCCGCGGCGAGAAGGGGTCGACGCTTACAATCTGGGGAGCGTCGGTTCCGGCGCAGCGTTTCCCGCCGCCAGGCCGTGCTCGGCCATCAACAATGTCCCGACGTTTCGGGACATTACCAGGATGTCGGGGGGGGGGGGGGGGGGGGTTGGGTGGGTGGGGCGGTATCAGTGGAAAACGAAGTATCGCTGTCGTATCATTCGGAACGAAAGGGGGAAGAAGAAAAAAAAAAGCTTGCTCGCTTGATTGGCTCCGTCGATGTGCGCGGACGTAGTCACCTTACGCTTTGTGGAGCCTCTTTTGGTTTCCTCTCGCCCGGACTGTACATTTGCCGTGGGGGCGATGGTGGGGGTGGGGTTGGGGGAAGAAGAATGTCGGTAACTCCGAATAAAAGTTTACGTTTCACCGCTTGCGGAGAAGACTTGAGTCCCCTCGATCGCCGTCCGTCCGTCGCTCGTCGCGTGACGCTCGAGCGTCAACCTACCTCGCCTGGTACGCAGGGAGGTCGCGCTGGGTAGCATTGCCAACTCGCACGACGCCCGAGTTTGCGTGTGTCTCTCTCTCTCTCGGTCTCTCTCATCGTGGTCACGTGGATTTTTCTCCCTGGGATCCTCCGTTTGTTTTTTTGTTCCCCCCCGCCTCCAATCCGCATTTAGGATCGACGCCACGCGTTTAGAGTTATTTGGCTGCCGCTATAAATGTCCAGGAGATGATGATGTTGATGATGGTGGTGGTGCTGGTGATAAGCCACTTCGTTGAGCTATCGTGTGTGATGGCCAGGTCGCTTCTGCAAAAAATAGCTCTGTAGCTCAGTGGACCTTACGTGGTAAAATAACATTAACAAGTATTCTTAGTTCTTTCGGTAAAGTCACGTTGAAGGGAAACAATAAAATAATAAAATATATATAAAACAATAAAAATTCTCACGACGTTTCGACCATAACACAAACGGTCGTCATCAGGTGTGTCGGTTTGCATATTTTATTATTTTATTGTTTCCCTTCAACGTGACTTTACCGAAAGAACTAAGAATATGAATTACTGCAGTCACGAAAGCTTTAAATCAACATTTAACATTAACAAGCTTACTTTTCTTTGGTAGAATACGCAACACAGACACACAAACACAGCATTGGACATATATATAACTATTTTAACTATTATTACTCTCCTAGGTAAAGCCCACTACTGAGGTGCAAAGCTTTTTTCAGAACCAGAATCATTATTGATACTGGAGCATTCCTATGAGCTCTGAAGCTCTTTTGCACCGATATCCATGAAGCGTCCTGGCCACAAATGATAGCTCAACGAAGTGGCTTATCAGGTAGAAATGTACAGCAGCCCAAATACTCTAAATGCACGTTGATTTTAAATGTGGAGGGAAAAACCCGGAGAGCCCGGAGAAATATCCACGCAATCACGGGGAGAGAGACACTCAAACTCAAAACCATACAATACGCATCAAGTCGGGATCGAACCCACGTCCGCCTGCATACCAGGAGAGGCATTTAACAATGTCCTCGCCTCCGCGGCACCCACAACCGGACTGCACACGCCTGTCCACTCTGTCAATCACCGCCGCACCGCTTGACTATGAATAGAGCCCCAATTGAAGACTTCACCCCAGACCTGACCTTTACGCACCCAGCCACGAACGACATCCATGGCCACGGGGGATGTAATAGCAGCAGCGGCAGTTACGGGAGCGTCACCGTCATCAGCGGCAGGACTTTAGGGCAGTTACCTCATTTCAGAGGGACGTTTGAGACCCATTAAAGGTGCGGAGCGATGGGTCGCCTCGTCATTGAAGTGGCTTTACGGTGGCTTTATGGTGGCGTAATTATGTCAACTGGCGGAGGACAAATTCAGATTAATACGTGATTTGTCCGCGTGTATTAATGGGCACGCGCTCATAAAATACCACGGTGTAAGGCGTGCTGCGGACAACGCTGTGGCGGGTCCGGCTCGTTTGTGGTTCACTGACACCAGCAAGCTGATGGGTTACTCAACAAAAACTATAAGCAAGTTAGTTATTTCACCAGAAGCGACCTGGCCACAAAATGAGAGCTCAACAAAGTGGCTTATCATCATCATCATCATCATCACGTGCAAATTCATAGCAGCCAACAACTCTAAATGCATGACGTCGATTCTGAACGTCGAGAGAAATACCACGCGACCACGGAGACGAGAGACACCGCAAACTCCAAATATACAGCAGCAGGCGTCAGGGTCGGGATCGAACCCACGACCTCCTGTACACCAAGCGAGGTAGTCAACATCTCCTAGCCACCCTGGTGATAGAGAGAGAGACGCAGACTCCAAACAAACAGCAGGCGTCAGGGTCGGGATCGAACCCACGACCTCCTGTACACCAAGCGAGGTAGTCAACATCTCCTAGCCACCCTGGTGATAGAGAGTGACGCAGACTCCAAATATACAGCAGGGCTTCATATTCTTGGTTCTTTTGGTAAAGTCACCACGTAGAAGGGAAACAATAAATTAAAAAAATATATAAAACAATAAAATTCTCACGACGTTTCGACTGCAACACAAGCAATAATCATCAGGTGTGAAAACCACAGCACATTTTCTTGCTGTGGTTTTATGTTTTTATGATTTTATTGTTCCCTTCTACGTGACTTTACCGAAAGAACCAAGAATATGAATCCCTGCAGTCACGAAAACTTTAAATCAAAATGAATACAGCAGGCGTCACAGTCGGGATCGAACCCACGACCTCCTGTATGCCAGGCGAGGTAGTCAACATCTCTTCGCCACCGCGATACTCATGTAAATGCACCGACGTTTTCATGAGCAAACCGCTGGTGCGGTGGTCAGCAGCCACGCTCCGCGACGAACCACGTAAAAAAAAACGGAGGTTCAATTCCCCGCACCTCCCATTGAGCACGGTTGGCTACGTACGGTGCAAAAGAAGTCAAACAAACATACGCACTACTAGAGACTACAGACTGCACTACTATTCACCGCACTACTGCACAGTAAACCATACTATGCACTACTACACTATAAATTACTACACACAACACTATACACTACACGACTATACACTACACTACTATACACTACCATACACTACACTATTACACTACCATACACGACACTATACACTACACTATACACTACACAATACTATAATACACTAAACTACGACACAGTACACTATTATACATTACACTATATTCTACACCGCTAAATCACGTTGAAAACTCAACCCGCACCTCCTATTAGGACGGTTGGCTACGTACGGTGTGAAAGAAGTTCAACATGCAACAACAACCGCCATTCGCCACGAACTGACGGTGACATCACCACCTCGCCTGTGCCAGGCCAGGTGTACTTCGAGTGCCACGTGAAGTGTCGAAGGCTCGCTCCTAGCACGAGGTCACGGAACAGACCCAGCAGGTGCCACGGGTTGACTGACCGAGATCAACAAAGACAAAGATCCCCCGTGTAGCCTTTAACAGACTGTTGGGACAAGTGCTGTTAACGAGCACCTATGAAGGCCGGCACGGCACACGAGGGGGTGGGTGGACAGCACCACGCCCCGCCGCCTTTGTCTCCCCAGTGGCGATGTTTACTGCACACCGCACCAGGTACTCATTTGAGGCCGAGTCGACCTAGAGGGAGGCCCAGGACCGGTGCAGATGATCGTTACCGGTGTTGGACGTGAGCGGAAAATTGAACTCGGGTCGCCGGGTTTCGTAGCACAGCGTGGCGCTAACCACTACACCCACCGCTCCCCACCACTAATACCACCACCTACCCCTACCACTACCTACCAACAACAACCGCCATTTGACACTAAGTGTCGGCGACGTCACGAACGGCGTTTGTGCCAGGCTAGGTGTACGTTGAGGCCACGTGAAGCGTCGAATGCCCGCCGGCAGGAGGTCACGGGGCAGACCCAGCAGGTGCCACGGGTCGACTGACTGAGATGACTACTGGCCGATGCACCACCTGTGCACCTCCACTGTGCCAGGCTAGGTGCAGGAGGAGGTCACGGGGCAGACCCAGCAGGTGCCATGGGTCGACTGACTGAGATGACTACTGGCCGATGCACCACCTGTGCCCCCTTCTGTGCCAACCTGCTGTGCTTTAGCAGCCCGGCGCTCCGCTCGTTGTTGTGAGCGCCGCTCCTCTGCCCTCATTGTTGCTGGAGGGTGACTGCCTCCAACTGCCCAGCAGCAGCGTCCTTCACGAGCCTCCTCCGCATAGAGTACATGGTACTATCATTTTTAATGGAAAAAGAACGAATAATACTATACAGTAACATGATCACAAATGTAATGTTGATAGCTTCAAAAAGCCAAAGAGTCTCCCACTTGTTCACCATCATTGTGAACGCGTGCCTGGAATCTTCTCCAGGTGGTCTGCAGAGCCCGGAGGCACACTTCTTACGGTATCGTTTGCAAATTCTCAGAAGTGTGGACATTTGTGTTTGAAGCACCCTGAAAATCTCTCTATAGATGTAGTGTTCGATTTCACTCGGACAACTTCTGTCTTTCTTCGAACACCGCTTTATTTACAACTCTCAGCATGTCCTCCACATTCCACAGTATCCAGGTCGCCACGGCTCGCTCGCTGTGCTTCACTCGACTCGCTCGCCACCTTTGTATCTCCACTCCCCCACGATTACTTCGCTTGCTCCGCACTCAGCGACTCCGCACTCAGCAACTCCGCACTCAGCTTCTTCGCACACAGCGTGTTCAGCTCCGCTATCGCTACGCTCTCTCCACTACTGGCTATTCTCGTCTCCAGCTCCACTATCGCTACGCTCTCTCCACTGCTAACTACTTCTCTTCCTCAGCT